CCTTTACAGAGTTATGGCCCTTGTCATGCATTTCTTGACATAGTGCATGGTATACCCAATGGGAACAGATTTTCTCAGTAACCGTTATAGATAGGGAAACCAAATGTGGTATGTGTTTTCAGGACATTAATGTCATGGTGGAGTTAAAAAACAGGAACCAAATAGGAACAGAACACTGGTGGGGATACTGATGACCATGTCTTCTTGTTTTGGATGGTGTTGGAAAAATTATCCACTACACCATGGAGTGTTATAAAACATGTAGCTGGTTGCTTTGATCCCTGCTTTTTTACATAAGCATGTCATCATGTTTAATTCTGAATGCTGATAATGGTTAATGTTGGAAGAAAATTGTTATGCTCCATAGTAACATAACAATATTTCCCATTTGGGACAAGCAAATATAACTAGTGCTGTATGTTTAGTTATTGGGGTGGTGGGGTAGCCTAGTGGTTAAAGCGTCCGCTCGTCACACAGAAGACCCGGGTTCGATTTCCCACATGAGTAGAATGTGCGAAGCCTATTTCTGGTGTCCCCTGCCATGATATTGTTGGAATATTGCTAACAGAGGCCTAAAACCATACTCACTCACTCACTCATCTAATTACTTCTTAGCATGGGGCGGCTGCACATGATTTTACGCAATGTCTGCAGTGTGCCAAAAGCTTTTGTGCCTACGAGCATGACAAGTCAGAATTAGTCTTTTTATGTCATAACTGTAGATTTTAGTGTTGATGTATGGACAAGAATCTTATCAGACAGGATGACATTATTCTAAACTCTAGCGTGAGACTTGTGGCTAAAGTTGCCAAGTATAATTAATGTTTCTCACATATTCCTATTATTTGAACTTGAAAGCCTGCCATGAGTCTGGTGCTTCTGTGAAGGGCAAATAAAGTGTGCGATATCAGAGCTTGATCAGTGCTTGATTATAAGGTGCTTTGTCAAACAATCCAGGGGTATTTTAATGATTATGATAGGCAGACCTGACCATGCTTACCGTCATCCTGGTAAGATTGCGGTCGTGACATATTGATTGGTTGGGAAGGAGGAAGCCTCCTTGATGAGTTACAGCAAGTGTTCGAGGGAATGTTCATGTTGTCCTGCGATGAAAAATACACTGACGTTGATGGCAATATTACATGACAGATATTGATGGTAAATGATATGTTTCAAATTTTAGAGATACAGAGATTGTAATTTCACTTTTTACTTCATTGGTTATGAAATCTAGAGATTTATGACATATACTGATATAGAACATTTACAATATGTTACTATGGTTACAAGCAGATGAAATTATGTCTTGTTTCATTTTTTGGGTGTGATTATTTAAGTAGATTTATATTTTTTAAAAAGATGGTAAAGTCAATAACATGCAGTTGGTAACAGTGTGTTTGTCTTGTTTATTCATGAATAAAAGTTTGAATAAACAAGCTGATATGCTTATCATAACATGTCTACTTAACCCCAGAATGGCAGTGAAAAAAACAGGAATGATGAATGAATAGAGCAGAAAAGTTAACTACATGTATTCTGAAATACCCCAAACTTTGTGCCTTTGATGACAATGCTTATTTAGGTTTATATCAATCTCCTTGTGGAAAAGGGGACTGAAATAGTTGGAATATTCCATTTTGAATAGTATATGTATATGGATTATTTTATCTACTACTGTTGTGACAATGTCCCTTTGATGGATATGACAGCTGATCAAATATCAAATTTGCAAGACATGTCTCTGAACAATTGAACTATAAAATTCACTTGTCTTGTGCACATGTTCAGAAAATTGACCCAGAAAATAGTGTTTTTATCACAAAAGTCTTTTTATGCCAGCTGTTATTGTTTTAACACAGATAAATAATCATATCATTTTTGTTGCTTTTACTTGATACAAATCATGGAGTCATCCATTGCTACTCATCAAAGGAAAACCACATTTGTTGAGGTGATAGTGTGGTCTGCAGTGACTTCTTACAGTGTGTTGTTCAAATGGCTACTTGTTATTTGGCTACTATGATCAACCAATCAGAGAGGCTGTTGTAACGTGTAATAGAAATCAGTTGATTACTCTTGTTCAAAGTAGTGGTGGTGGGGTAGCCAAGTGGTTAAAGCGTTTGCCCGTCACGCCAAAGATCCGGGTTTGATTCCCCACATGGGTACAATGTGTGAAGCCCATTTCTGGTGTCCCCTGCTGTGATATTGCTGGAATATTGCTAAAAGCGGCGTAAAACCATACTCACTCACTCACTCACTTACTCTTCTTCAAAGTAGTATTGACAATTTGCTAAATGTTAAGTTTGTCAGCATGGTCAATGGAGCACTGAAGCTGATATTTGTGTTTTCCCTGCATTCTCACATAATGAGCCAGACACATTTTTTATGTATAAAAATATTGACAATGCCATCACACATTATCAGATCCTTCTGAAATAATGTTAAAAGTCTGTTGCCAAGGCCCATTTTGGCCCAGTTGTCCCCACTATTCAAGTCCTCACTTTTCAAGGTTCATTCTGATTATGTTTCTAGGCCTGTGAGCACCACACCCACATTTTACCAAAGTGGTAAATGTGTGTCTTTGGGTTTTACTCCAAATTCAGCTGACATGCTGTGTTATGACTGAAATACTTTTCAAAGCACCGTGATGTCTCACTTAGTCCTAGCTCTTCTCTGAATCTATGAACTATCAAATCTATGAACGGTATATGTGTGATGTCTCTCTCAGTCCTAGCTCTTCTCTGAATCTATGAACTATCAAATCTATGAACGGTATCTGTGTGATGTCTCACTCAGTCCTAGCTCTTCTCTGAATCTATAAACTATCAAATCTATGAACGGTATCTGTGTGATGTCTCTCTCAGTCCTAGCTCTTCTCTGAATCTATGAACTATCAAATCTATGAACGGTATCTGTGTGATGTCTCTCTCAGTCCTAGCTCTTCTCTGAATCTATGAACTATCAAATCTATGAACGGTATCTGTGTGATGTCTCACTCAGTCCTAGCTCTTCTCTGAATCTATGAACTATCAAATCTATGAACGGTATATGTGTGATGTCTCTCTCAGTCCTAGCTCTTCTCTGAATCTATGAACTATCAAATCTATGAACGGTATCTGTGTGATGTCTCACTCAGTCCTAGCTCTTCTCTGAATCTATGAACTATCAAATCTATGAACGGTATCTGTGTGATGTCTCTCTCAGTCCTAGCTCTTCTCTGAATCTATGAACTATCAAATCTATGAACGGTATCTGTGTGATGTCTCACTCAGTCCTAGCTCTTCTCTGAATCTATGAACTATCAAATCTATGAACGGTATCTGTGTGATGTCTCTCTCAGTCCTAGCTCTTCTCTGAATCTATGAACTATCAAATCTATGAACGGTATCTGTGTGATGTCTCTCTCAGTCCTAGCTCTTCTCTGAATCTATAAACTATCAAATCTATGAACGGTATCTGTGTGATGTCTCACTTAGTCCTAGCTCTTCTCTGAATCTATAAACTATCAAATCTATGAACGGTATCTGTGTGATGTCTCACTTAGTCCTAGCTCTTCTCTGAATCTATAAACTATCAAATCTATGAACGGTATCTGTGTGATGTCTCACTCAGTCCTAGCTCTTCTCTGAATCTATGAACTATCAAATCTATGAACGGTATCTGTGTGATGTCTCTCTCAGTCCTAGCTCTTCTCTGAATCTATAAACTATCAAATCTATGAACGGTATCTGTGTGATGTCTCACTTAGTCCTAGCTCTTCTCTGAATCTATAAACTATCAAATCTATGAAGCGGTATCTGTGTGATGTCTCACTCAGTCCTAGCTCTTCTCTGAATCTATAAACTATCAAATCTATGAACGGTATCTGTGTGATGTCTCACTCAGTCCTAGCTCTTCTCTGAATCTATAAACTATCAAATCTATGAACGGTATCTGTGTGATGTCTCACTTAGTCCTAGCTCTTCTCTGAATCTATAAACTATCAAATCTATGAACGGTATCTGTGTGATGTCTCTCTCAGTCCTAGCTCTTCTCTGAATCTATAAACTATCAAATCTATGAACGGTATCTGTGTGATGTCTCACTCAGTCCTAGCTCTTCTCTGAATCTATGAACTATCAAATCTATGAACGGTATCTGTGTGATGTCTCACTCAGTCCTAGCTCTTCTCTGAATCTATAAACTATCAAATCTATGAACGGTATCTGTGTGATGTCTCTCTCAGTCCTAGCTCTTCTCTGAATCTATAAACTATCAAATCTATGAACGGTATCTGTGTGATGTCTCACTCAGTCCTAGCTCTTCTCTGAATCTATGAACTATCAAATCTATGAACGGTATCTGTGTGATGTCTCACTCAGTCCTAGCTCTTCTCTGAATCTATGAACTATCAAATCTATGAACGGTATATGTGTGATGTCTCTCTCAGTCCTAGCTCTTCTCTGAATCTATGAACTATCAAATCTATGAACGGTATCTGTGTGATGTCTCTCTCAGTCCTAGCTCTTCTCTGAATCTATGAACTATCAAATCTATGAACGGTATCTGTGTGATGTCTCACTCAGTCCTAGCTCTTCTCTGAATCTATAAACTATCAAATCTATGAACGGTATCTGTGTGATGTCTCACTCAGTCCTAGCTCTTCTCTGAATCTATGAACTATCAAATCTATGAACGGTATCTGTGTGATGTCTCACTCAGTCCTAGCTCTTCTCTGAATCTATAAACTATCAAATCTATGAACGGTATCTGTGTGATGTCTCTCTCAGTCCTAGCTCTTCTCTGAATCTATGAACTATCAAATCTATGAACGGTATCTGTGTGATGTCTCACTTAGTCCTAGCTATTCTCTGAATCTATGAACAGTGTCTGTGTGATCTCATCTGTCTCACTTACTCGAAGCTCTTCTCTAAATCTATGAACGGTATCTGTGTGATCTGTCTCACTTACTCGAAGCTCTTCTCTAAATCTATGAACGATGTCTGTGTGATATTTTGCAGCACACTGAGATGGTTGGACACAATGGGTTAAGTGACATCTGTCTGGTGGAAAGCCCAGCGTGGGGAGGCAGAGGACTGCCCTCAGCATGACCACTGAAGACTTGCTACAGCCAAACCAGGTCGTCAAGGACCGATGGAAAGTCGTAAGTAATCATTACAGTCATTTAAACATGGGACGAGAAATCAATAAAGTCTGGAACTGTGGACTTTTTCATGTGCTATCTTGCTCCTTTTGACCTGATGGGTCCATGGTGCCAAAGGCATTTTTATTAGCTTAACCCTTGCATATATACATACTAGCGTTTGTTGGAGGAGGTATCCTCCTATTTGTCAGACATCCCAATAGTCAGACAGGTTAAAACAACAAACCATCTGGTTGAGTGCACAGCTAATCCCCTGAGTGTTACCTCTTAATGAAATAGGAATGATCCATAAAATACAGAACAGAACAGAACTTGATTACACTCAGCCCAATTTATATATGGGTGTTGCCCTAATTAATCCCTAGTCCAGTGTGTGAAAATTGGGATGTCTAACTAATGGGATGTCTAACTAATGGGAGTAAACCTTGGAGGCCTGTTCTCCACTGATCAGTGTATACAACATTGAGAAATAAGGCCCCCTAAATATATGTTTCCTATTTCAGACTGAAAGTCAAGTGAGATGATGTCAAATCCAGTTTCTGTATATTTATGTTTGACATATTATAAAATAAACAACTCTTAAGTATTTAAACTGACTACATATTGAGTTATGTGCTATTTTATGTCATTACCTGACTGGTTGGGTCTGCAGTGAACCACATGAAATTTATGTAAGTTGCATACAATATGGATACTACCAGGATAATGACACCTCAAGAAAAACAGAAAAAGGTTTTTGATTTGGGCCTCCAAGTTTATAAGCTCAGTCAGGAAACAGGAACCACATATATTTGGGAACAATGTATACTAGGCACATAAAGAAACTGTGCATACAAAAATTTAAAATCTAAATTTATCAAACCTGTGTAGACACATAAGGATTTAAACTCAGAGATTAGTGACATGTATCCAACATGCATGCATGTGCCACGTTCCGTGACGTCAGTGGGTTCGTCCTTGAGACGTGCAATACGTTGTTGCACGTGCATTCCGGGAAAGAGAAACAGAGCAAATGAATGCCACACAATACTGTCACTTTGGAAAGCTCAACCCCTGCCCTTGCGATCGTTCAAAAATTAAATGGCTATTGAAACGCATAGCATGCCAAGGCTCACGTCTGCACAACGTCATGAGGCCATTGGGATGGTCATGGGGGAATGTCTCAACGACAAGTGGCTGCACATTTCCACTGCCACAGGAACACCATTTCTGCACTGGTGAGACGCTACCAGAACACAAATGACGTCATCGATCGGCCACGTTCTGGACGTCCACGTGTAACAACGCCAAGACAGGACAGATGGATAAGGGTGACCCATCTTCGCCACAGGTTTCAGACTGCAGTGATGACTGCCCGAGCCATCCCAGGACTTCGCCGTCTCCACCCCAACACAGTTCGACAACGTTTACGTCATCACGGGATCAGACCACGACGTCCCGCCATACGGCCTATCCTGACACAACGTCATCGACAAGCTCGCCGAATGTGGTGCCGAAATCATGTCCGCAGACCCTTGTTTTGGTGGAGAAATGTTTACAGATGAGTTCCGGTTTAACATTTTCCATAGTGATGGACGCCAAGCGTGCCTAGAGACGCGTGGGAGAAAGTTATGCACAGGCCTGTGTCTTGGAGAGGAATCGCTTTGGTGGTGGTTCCGTGATGATTTGGGGTGGAATAACAGCACGCCAAAGAACTCCTTTGGTGATTGTTCAGGGCAACTTAACTGGTGTGGGCTACAGGGATCAGATTCTTCGACCTGTGGCAATTCCTTTTTCTGCAACGTCATGGCCCTGGGTTAACATTCCAACAGGACAATGCCCACCCTCATACGGCAAGGGTTGCTATGGATTTCTTGCAACACCACAACGTTGACTTACTGCCTTGGCCTGCAAGTTCACCGGATCTCTCCCCGATAGAGCATGTTTGGGACGAGATGGATCGACGTCTACACCGTCTTCCTCATCCGCCAGATAACGTCCTTGACCTTGCAACAGAACTTGAGAGAATCTGGCGTGACATCCCACAAGCCTTCCTTGCACGTTTGATAGGCTCTATGCGTCATCGATGCACTGCTGTTCTCAATGCCGATGGTGGACATACCCGTTATTGAGCTTGTGACATGGTCGTTTGACCCCTGTCCCGCTTGTGGACTCGTGACGTCATTGTGATTGACTTTTCAATTGAAATTCTCCCGACTTGTTATGGTCTCATGATCCCTCCATTCAAGTTTATATGTACCTTTGACATTGTTATCATACTTATCAACTGGGATAATATTTTGACAATGCACAGTTTCTTTATGTGGCTTTATGTACCAATGCAATCCTGTTAATTAATTTCATGTCTTTATTTTGTTTAATTTATACATGACTACATCACAAAACTTGACTATGACAAATAACACCATTAATATCCAACCTGCAGTCATATTATGCGATGAAAATCAGTTTTTTTATTGACTGGGATGTCAAAAGTAAAATGTTTTGGTAAAAGTAAAAATTAACATCCATCAGCACAGTGAAATTGATCTTGTCTGCAGGGCATGTGTTTTTCAGAAATTGGTGATATTGATGAATTCATTTCCACATTGGTTATGGTTTTGAATATTGAAGGCTAGTTTAGTATTATAGAACTTCCATGTTGAAGTCCGTTGCCATGGTTACAATTGTATATTATTCAATAATTTAGACAAAGAAGATTGGCGGTGGTGGTTTTGGGGAAATTTACGAGGCGTCAGACATGGTTACGAAAGAAGCAGTGGCTCTGAAGCTGGAGTCTGCCAAGCAGCCAAAGCAGGTGCTCAAGATGGAGGTGGCTGTACTCAAGAAGCTGCAAGGTATGCAGAATCGGCAGATGTTCTACATCATTGCTCATGTTATGATAATATTATTTCCAAAGGTGCATATGTGACCCTGTTGTCTAAGGCACCAATGCTTTCTGTACGAAGTTGCCTCCCTTAGCTATAAAAGGATTTGCTGATTGTGGTTTGAATACACATTCACCCTGATAAAGATCCTATGTCTTTTTTTAAATGAGTATGTGGATTTTACCAAGTGATAATTGTCTATCTCCTGTCATTTAAGCTGAAATATTGTTCAGATGGACAACAGACCCAACTCACTGTCACTTATGGGTGCTGATTCTTTGAAAGGGTGTTGACATCAAGCATATTGTCATGAGACATGACAATCAAACTCAGTTGATTAACCTGAAAGATTGAACTATGTATGAACTTTCTCAAGAACATTAATTTCCTCTTGACTGACTCCATTATTCTCTGGTCAGGTCGTGATCATGTCTGTCGCTTCATCGGCTGTGGTCGAAATGAAAGGTACAACTACGTGGTGATGTCCCTACAAGGCAAGAACCTGGCCCGAGTTGAGACGCAGTCAGCCACGAGGTTGTTTTTCCCTGAGCACCACACTGAGACTGGGGGCACAGATTCTGAAGGCCATTGAGTCCATCCATGAAGTGGGCTTCCTCCACAGAGATATTAAACCAGTGAGTGAAGCTTCATTGGTTGTCTGTAGTGGCATGCATGATTGCTGATGGAGAGCACAGTTGAAGGCTCGATAAGGGACTGTTGTCCAGTAATGAAAATTAATATTTAATTGCTGTTCAGTGTAGCCACGGTCACATACACCTTGGGCCTTCTTGATGAACACTCTGTTGTATGGATTGGTATCTTTCAGCGAGTTCATGGCTGATTAGTTAGACAAGTGACTGCTTCTTTTTAACAGTTGTCAATGACTGTATTTATTAACTATGTTAAGCTCTAACATGCAAGAAAAGATGCCTTTAAAATCCTGAAATATATCATAAAAAAATGATGAAGGACGTCTTGGAAATCATTGGCCTCCTTCAGGTTTTCTGTTATAGTTTGAGGAAGGAATCCCCCAAATCTTTGTCCTCATAGGCATCCATGTCAAAAGTTTTCTGTCATAGTTGTTTTAAAAAGGCATCCCCCAAATGTTGGTAACATAGGCTACCCAGTTAAAGTTCTGCGTCACTCTAAGACTTGTGATAAGAGGCGATTAAAGTGGTTCTTGTGATCGGGGATGAATGATTAATATCTTGTCATTGTACCTGACACTGTGGGAGTTTGCTCATCAACTGTTGTAGAGGGCTGTTTAACCTGGAAGAGTTAATACCCAATCTCGTTCATTTCAAAGTTTCTTGGGAATATTGAAGAGATCAGATCCAAAGGACCTTATAATGTTTAAGTTCTATAATTTCGTCACTGATTGGTCGCCACTGACATTATCAGTGTTTTGAATATGGCATGAAAGTCAAACTGAACAAGTTTTTGCAGTATTTGTTTGTTGTTTAATGCCGCACTCCGCAGTATTCAAGCCATATCGTAGCGATCTGTAAATAATCGAGTCTGGACCAGACAATCCAGTGATCAACATCATGAGTATCATTCCAAGCAATTGGGATAATATGACATGTGTCAACCAAGCTAACCTGACCACCCGATCCCAATAGTTGTCTCTTTCGACAAGCATGGGCTACTGAAGACCAATTCCAACCTGGTCTTGCAGTAAGCGTGATGTTAAGAGTTATATGTTTAGAGTCCTAGATTCAAATACTTGTTCACAGCAGCAAAGGCCATGGACACTGAAGCCCCTCTTGAACACTGTATTCGTGTTGTTCAGGGTCCCGTTTCACAAAGCTCTCAACCCGTGCTTGCCATAAAAGGCGACTATCTTGTCGTAAAAGGTAACGGGATCGGGTGGTCAAGTCAGTGATACAGTATAGGAAGTTGCTGTTGATCAATGCTACAGAGAAAGCTGGAATATTGCTGACGAAAAGTTCTTAGGCTTATGAGAGCTTTGTGAAACGGGACCCTGGGCTGTAACTATACTCTTTGTAACAGTGTGATGTGTATCTTGATGGATACATAAAAAACTTGACTCTTGTCCCTCTGAGTGAGTTTATGTACATTATATCATTTGTAATATTTTATCATCAAAGACAATGAGTAGCATGGCAAACATGGTGAAAGTTAGTAAACTTAAATCAGTTTAATTCACAATGGTTTGACAACTCTTGAATACATTATCAAAATATAGTGTTTCAAAATTCATTGCATCAAGTTTTTAGCGGTACAAAGTTAAGGGGTGCACTTACAATTCTGTGAGTAATTATGTTTTGAGCTTGTGCCCAAACATTCATGGATAGGATTTTACATAGAACAGTTGAACATGGAGATTGGTGAAAGGCATGCACATCCAAGAAGGAAAGGCTCTACAGTGTTTGAAAATAAGGCTATGGGTGTTGATTTCCTGAGTTAGTCATGAACACAGGGGTAAGATAATAGCAGTGTTAACATCCAGGGCCTTCTTTCACAAAGCACTAAGGTGATCGTAAGTCACTAAGGTAACCTTAGTGCAATGTTAAAGAATGGGAGTTAAGGTTAACCTTAGTAAAGGTTGCGTCGTGAAAGGAGCCCCAGAGTGTCAGAATTGCTCTCAGCGTGAGGTGACCTATAGGTTATAGTGATCAGACTCGCTGACTTGGTTGATATGTGTCATTGTACCCCAATTGCATAGTTCAGTGCTTGTGCTGTTATAAATCATTGGATTGTCTTGTCTGGACTTGTTCTTTTACAGACACTGTCAGATAGCTGGAAGTTTGCTGAGTGCAGTTTCACACAACAAACAAACAAACAAACAAACAAACATTTCTCTTCTTCCATTATAGTCCAACTTCTCCATGGGTAAATCTGCAAACCACTGCCGCAAGGTGTATATGTTGGACTTTGGCCTAGCCCGTCAGTACACGACTGCTACAGGGGAGGTTCGACCACCACGAGCTGCAGCTGGCTTCCGGGGCACAGTCAGATATGCCTCTGTCAATGCTCACAAGAATAAGGTAGGTTACTATTGGAGCACAGTCAGATATGCCTCTGTCAATGCTCACAAGAATATAGTACATTACTATCAGGGCACAATGTCAGTGCTCACAGAAATGAGGTAGGGTTGACTCCAGAGACACAGTCATTTCATCCAACCATCCTATCATGTTACCTGACAGGAAACAATAATATTCCATTTTGCACATACTGTCATACCCTTGCCTCATAGGGGCAGTGGGGTAGCCTAGTGGTTATTTCTGGTGTCCCCCGCCGTAATATTGCTGGAATATTGCTAAAAGCGTCGTAAAACCATACTCACTCACTCACCCACCCTTGCCTCATATATACTGGCAGTCTGGAACTGCATCAGGATTAAAATATGATGAATGCAGACAGAAATTACATGTTACCTTTTACAGGTGATATTACTCACTAAGGTAACTACCAGTGATTCCAGTATCGTGGTGAGGGTAATTGTCCAAAGGGACATAACTCTCCCTGTGGTCCATCTAATATTGATTACAAGGAATCCCTAATACTCAGCTCCTTCCAAGGAGATAACCTACTAAAGTTGAAATGATGCTTCACAAAATGTTAACTCTACTATTTCAGGAGATGGGTCGTCATGACGACCTGTGGTCTCTGTTCTACATGCTGGTTGAGTTTGTGGTGGGTCAGCTTCCCTGGAGAAAGATTAAGGACAAGGAACAAGTGGGCACAATGAAAGAAAAATACGATCACACCTTGCTGCTGAAAAACATGCCTTCAGAGTTTCGCACCTTCCTCGACCACATTCAGTCACTGGACTACTACGACAAGCCTGACTATGCTCTCCTGCACAACCTGTTCGAACAGTGTATACGACGCAAGTCCATCAAGGAAGCAGATCATTATGATTGGGAGAAGCCCTTTGTTGATATGTCAGTCGCGACCACTACCTCGCAGCCAGTTGCCATCAAACAGACTGCAGGGGGACAGGGGTATGTACACAATATAACACAGTGAAATCTTTTACATTATTGTTACGAATCCTATGAATAATGATCATGGAATGTAGACTTACATACATCAATTATAAATCATCTACATTTATAGTGAGTTATTCTGTTTCTTTATGTTGTGTGGATTTACTAGGATGTATGAAACTAGATTACGATGTCTCATGAACTGAGTGCTGTCAATCCCTTAGGTCTTATTTTATGCCAAAATGGGGATTGGAGGACTTCATCCTGTTTTTGTTTGTTTAATGCCTCATTCAGCAATATTCCAGCTATATGGCGTCAGTCTTTAAATAATCGAGTCTGGACCAGACAGTCCAGTGATCAACATCACGAGCATCGATCTGTGCAGTTGTGATATGATGACATGTCAGTGAGACTGACCACCCAGTCCCGTTAGTCGGTTGTAACGACAAGGATGAGTTACTGAAGACCAATTCTAGCTCAAATCGTCACGGGTTCTGCAGCCTTTACTTGCTGTGAAAGGTGAACTTGAGACAGCCATGTAAGCCTGTATCATTCACATAGAGAAACAAGGCAGTGTCACTTCTTTGGCATATGTGGGTATTTAAAATCAGATATCCCCAATTCCTCGACCAACAGCTGATTTAATTCACTAATCTTTTGACAGTAACTTACAAGTTGGTCCTAACACACCTGGTCATGGTGCCACTGAGCTGATTGACGAGAACCTGAGTTACAACCAGGAGGACGAGGAGAACCTAAAGAAACAGCCAGGTGACCTAATCATCGGCGACAACAAGTACCAGCGGGACATGGACAATAAGCTTTGGGAGGAGAAAGTGGAGATCATGTTGTCTCAGAAAGCAGACGTCGAAAAACAGGATGGAAAATATGAAGCCGAGCAGAAAGGAAAGGAAGAACTTGAAGGTGACAGTCAACAAAAGGAAAATGGCGGCAAGGATAGTAAGAGTAATAATGGTGTGTTGATTGAAGAGAAGGAAGCTGCTGATGACATTGCTCCAATACCAACGTTCAGGATATCGGAGATGGTGGGTGGGGAGCAGGGGATGAGGAAGATTTCAGAACAGGTCGAGAGGTCTTCGTATCTGAAAAAGTTAGGAACAATCAGTACTGACAGAAATAGGGAAGATGGGAGTGAGGAGAAGGAATCCTTGAAGCAGAAGGACACTTCAGTGTTGATACACTTACCACAGCATAATCAAACTCATGGTGACGGTGCTACACAAAAACTTGTTCTGGCTGATCAGGTGGACCAGGTTCATATATCTGATAATAACGCTAGACAGGTAGATGATATTGTAGGAGAAAAAGTGGTAGATAAAAAATTAGTTAGAAATGTGACTATAGATGTTGACGATGACCATTTGGATGACAATGGGTGCAATATCAACGACAACCTCCCAGATGTGACCTTCCCAGTGAGCCGTGCGCCTCTCACGTTTGCCTTGCAGACGGATGATAAAACTCACACTGCTGCAGATGACAATGCAGACGAAATGGCGACTCGAGCTGCTCCGTTTACAGTTGCCAGTCAGTGGATAGGTATGTCGGCTTTCGGCTCGAGTGGCGAGGAGAGTGACGATGACCAGTCGGAGGAGGAGAGCGCTGCCCGGGGAGGGGAGGTGAAACTCAGGTGGCCAAAGGGGCGGTCGAAAAGAGGCCAGACAAACACTCTTGCAGATGGGGATGACATGAACTATGATAGTGTCGCCAGGAATTCATTGGTCTTCCTGGATGATAAGGAGTCGAAAGATGCGTGCCGTGGTTCGCTGGTTTTTGATGAGGAAGAAGATGAGGACTTTTTTGCTCAACTTAAACAGCAAGGTGTTCAGGCAGATGATCACGAAGGGAAAGCATTGCCAAAATCTCAAGGTGTGTTTGGTTCGGGAAGTCTGCAGAGACTCAGCAGTTTTGAGAATAAAGACGATATAAACAGCAATAAGCAGAGTAACTTCTCTAGTCCAAGAAAAATGCCGGAAAAACTGGCCAAAGATATAGGCAATCGGATCGGATCCCCACTCAAACAAGGCCCTGGTAGTCCATCTAAGCTTTTGTTTAAAGGTCGAGAATTGTCCAGTGACGACAAAAAATCGGGTAAAGTGCATTCAAAACTTGTTGCAACAGGTAAACCACCTCCATATCAGGGTTCAAAGAAGGACAAGAATATGGAAGAAAAATTTAAATACTCGACTCAAGCAGATAGTAATTCTAGAGACTTGGATGATGTCCTGAAGATGAGAGACAATGTCCATGGATCCCGAGATGGGTTGGCTGATAAGTATCAGTTGGAGGATGTGAAGGAAGTTGTAAACCGAGAGATAAGCACTGAGGCGGTGGACATTTTGCATCCTCACCTAAATTCAAATATCAATAGTGCTTTCTCAAGCCACGCTTATAGATCTCCCCGTGCTTCTGATGCTCTATGCAATGAAAATAAAATGCCAAGCACTGGTTCCGCTGAGGATAGACAAAGCAAACAATCTGGCTTGTCTATGCGACAATCTCCCGCCAAAAGACGATCAGCTTCAGCACCACGTCTAGACTATATATCCCATGATGCCACAGATGCTTTGCGCAGCGTCACGCCTCTACAGCTTGACGCTGACAACCGTGTCCCAAAACCACCTCCAGGGATGGCCCCCAAGAATGCCGTCGTGACCGCAAGGTAAGTGTTGATATTGTCTCACTTTCACCCTGGCACTTCACGCCGACACGTGACTGTTGTGTTTTTGGAACTTGTCTGTAACTATGGTAACAGATGTAGGTGTAACTTAACTACCTTTGCTAGTTTACTGATAGTGAAATGTATTAGTAAGGACTGTCATGCTCTCTGTGTAGTAACAATGTGGTGCATTTAAAGCTTTGTGGACATCAGGTCCTTCCTGTAGTTTATTAACGTAAATGTAGCAACAATGTAATGATTTAGAACTAGATATAGACATGTGAATTTTCTCTTAACCTTTACACTTTCTTCCACTTGTGGTTAGACACTGAAGATTTTTATTGAGTTTTCAAAGTACTGCAAGTAGTTCCGGTGCATTTATGTTTTGATGGTAATTTTGTTCAGCTGTGTGTTGCACAACCAGCTTTTTGTGTTGACGACTGCTTTGTCTTGTGTTGAAAACAAATAACCAGACCACATGTCACCAGTAACACACAGATAGCCAACATATTGCCATTGTAATTTTTGGGTGATATTACATAAGCATTATATATGTAACAGTGGTATCAACCTTCTGATATGATTTCTGTGTATTTTCAACAGTGTAAAACGTGTATTGATTAAGTGAATTAAACTTTATTTTTCATAATATTATCATACAGATTTTTACTTTGTTTGAAGGACATTGAAAACTTAAATACTTTTATATTTCATACCTGTATAAAAAGAAACATAAAAACCGTAAAGTTCGTTTACTCACCTGTTCAAGCAATAGTATAGTCTCTATTGTACGTGGTTGTGAACTCCCTTTTCAGTTTGGAGAAGTTTTTGCACTGCATTTTGTTTTGCAGGCGGCGGCGATACAAAGTGGCCTCGGCTAACACCAGTCCCCGTGAGCCTGCGTCACCCTGAGCATGGCCATTCGCTGCCTTCCTTCTTTCCTGTTGTGTTTTGTGATCATCTCCATCTTCTTTATAGACTTTGTGGTTTTCCCACTGCTAGCTTCCGACGCTCAGAATTAGGTAAACGCATGTTTTACTCAGTTTGCTGACACCACGTTTTGTTTTTCATTTGACATGTTGGTAGTATATGAATATATGCATGGATATTTTTTAGTTCCTTTTGTACTGTTTACTTTCAAGTTTCAAGAGATGATTTTTGTTGACTGCTGTCTCTTGGCACCATGTCCTGAACTGTTTCTCTCTTTCAACAAGGTCTCATGATAATGATTTAGAAAATTTTTAGCTTTGTTTTTCTTCAGAAAGAAGTAATGCAAGATATATTAGGAATGAACTTTGTAAGAGACTGTTGATCTGCTTGCCTGCTGTTAATAATTTGATTGGGTTATCATTACCTATGGTTTCAACGTACTGCAACAACAAATGATATTTTCATGTAGTGTAGACCACAGGCATTATTTATTTAGCCTGGTTGAGAAGATTCAGTTGCAAGTCAGAGCCTGAGGTTAAAGAAAAAATGGTAATTGTTTAGAATGGCATTCTGTCCAAGGGGCTCCTGAGAACAGTTTTGGTAGAGTTCATACATTCTCGACATGAGTTTGAGAAAACTGGTAAGGAACTGAATTGTTTTGTATTTTTTAAAAGAACATAAAAAAAATACATTAAATTAAATTATCAAATAACATGTACCATACACAATAAATTTCAACCACATTTTATTCAGTATCCAGCTATATGTGGATACTTAATAATGATTGAGGTGAGTACAGTGTTATTAACAAGGTCTTAGAATATCTATATATATTTTATTAAATTATAAAAAAAACTTTGAAAAAATTAATACTAATTTTGGCCAAAAAACTTTGCATCAGTTTTGGCCAAAAAATTAAATTAGGGTTGGCATCTCTGGATTAGATTGCATCTAGTTTTACTGTAGTAGAAAATACTACATTAACTGGGTCTGGCTAAATTAGGGTTGGCATCTCTGGATTAGATTGCCATCTATCACGACTACTGTAGTTGAGCATCGAATATCACTACATTATAGTGGTTCTGTTGACTGCTGTGAAAGAACACTGTTGAGCTACAACATTTGCAACTCATCAGTTCTTAAATCCGTGAAGGTCCAGGTTAGAATGAGCCTTCAGTAACCCATGCTTGTCGTAAGAGGCGACTAACGGGGTCGGGTGGTCAGGCTCGCTGACTTGGTTGACACATGTCATCGGTTCCCAATTGCGCAGACCGATGCTCATGCTGTTGATCACTGGATTGTCTGGTCCAGACTCGATTATTTACAGACCACCGCCATATAGCTGGAATATTGCTGAGTGCAGCGTAAAACTAAACTCACTCACTCACTCACTACAGTTGTTAACAGTAGTCATCCAGAAGATATGTTTATCTGATTAGTATGATTAACAGGGCCCGGACCATTGAAGTGTATTCATGATAAGCAACATTACAGACAATATTATCAACACAATTTCAACCTCAAAATTAGTATTATATCATTAGAGTCTTTTGGGTTAGGGCTAGCCAAGTGTTTAAACCTTCACTCATCATGTCAAAGATATGGGTATGATTCCCACTGTGTTAAACATGTGAAGTCCATTTGTGGTGTCCCCCATTGTGGTATTGCTTGAATATTGTTAAAAGCTGATTAAAACCATACTCAGTCACTCATCCGGGTTAAGAAGCAGTAATAGGAGATGGTATGGAGAACTCCATTATCTTTTGCTTTTAGATTCATCTGTCAGTGTTGCCAACTCCAAAACTGTGCGATGGGTTTTGCTACTTTCATCAAGGGAATGGGGTAGCCCAGTGGTTAAAGCGATAGCTCGTCACGCCACAGACCCGGGTTCGATTCCCCACATGGGTACAATGTGTGAAACCCATTTCTGGTGTCCCCCGCCATGATATTGCTGGAATATTGCTAAAAGCGGTGTTAAATCATACTCACTCACTCACTCACTTTCATCAAGTGTGGATGTAGTGGTATCTGAAACATGATGGTGTAGATATAAGACTAGTATATGGATGGCAACTTCTTTATTGTATAACACAATGTTTCTGGGCTACATTGTACAGCATACTGGTAGGAACCACCACCTGGTGTTGTGTACATGTGGGAACCATTGATGGACAGTAAAATGATTTTTCCATGATCTTCCTTCGGAAATGACCACAAAACATTGTTCTGAGTTCATATTAAATCTTTTAAGATAGTTTGAAAGTGTATGGGATGGTCTTGACCAACACTGTAAGTCACGTCATATGTTGGATCTCCTTGCACCTTATTTGTGAATAATATATTTATGACTGGTGTCTAAGATTAATCTTGATCACACCAAGTTTGAGCATTATTTTTCCTTGGTATTAAGTCTCCATTTTGTTGTAATAAATACCTTGGAAGTATTCTTCTCCTTGGAACCTTATAGGGGTAGCCCAGTGGTTAAAGCATTTGCTCATCATGCTGAAGACCTGGGTTTGATTCTCCACATGGATGCAATATGTCAAGCTCATGTCTTGTGCCCTCTAGTGATATTTCTGGAATAAAGCTGTATTCATTCACTATCTCTTTCATCACCAACCTAGCACAGAATTTCTCTTGCCCATTAGCTTGAAATTTCAAAATCAAATGCAAATGCAGCTTGGGACTGGAGGGTATAGATTTTACACTACCAGATGTTCTCAGTTGATTGTGATGATTTGTAAACAAGGCCAATCAAATATTGGTTGTGTTGCTGCTTGATTAGAATTATAACCTTTGGTGGGCTATCCCAGGTGTGACCTAAAACAAGCTATGGTAGCTGGTAGTCATAGTACAATAGAGATTTGATGTCCTTCGTAACAGCGTGTTTATAGCCCATGAGTCAATTCATTCCTGAAACCTGTGCTCATCAGTGTTCACGAATGATGTTTCAAAATAACAGGCCATTGGGTCCTGTAAGCTTCAGATGTCTGTCTGCCCCACTGAAAATTCACGGGACCCACAGAAGAAAAAATGAACACACATTTCAGATTTAACATTTCTTGCAATTGGTATTGAAATTATTAACAAGCGTAAAAATTATAAACAGCAAACAAGAGTCACATGTCACATATAACAACTTCAGTCAAAGTCAATGTGAAATATACAGTTGGACACTGGGGCCAGCGGGTTGTAGACTTCTATCGGACCGACAGCAAATCTGTCGGATTTGTCCGAGGGTCCAACGCTATTCTTGACCACTGGCTCATTATCCTTTGAAGTTATGACAGTCAGTATTTTGGCACAGGGCTAGAAGATGACCGTCACATTATCAGTACACACACTTTCTGGTTGCGCTGACTGAATGGCTAGTCGATCAAAAGACAACAATCACACGCTCATATGTGAGCATCAGTAGACCTTGGCCCCATTTGACAAGGTGACCGTAGCACTAAGGTGATCGTAACTCTGAAACTTTAACATAGACTTACGACAGTCCCGACAGTCATAGCGCTATGATCAGTTTGTAAAACAGGCACCAGTGCTTTATCTCTTGTGTGATTTCTGTAGAAACAAACAACTCTATTTAAACCAAAAAGGAGCCACATAGTTATTGGATATTCAGAACCTGTAGACAATCTAGAAAGCTTCATACAGGGCAGTGGCTTTTACAGTATGTATCTGGGCAGAAGGGAAAATAGAGTTTCAAGGAATGTGGGATGGATTAGCCATTGCTGCAGTTCTGAACCTTTTGCTTTGACGCTGGGTGATCAAACTTTCCATCATGAAGTCATTGTGTACAGTGATGTAGGTATTTATATTCTGTCTGACAATCTCATCAGGAATGGCAATTTTACAGATGTACAGTGTGATCTGGGGATTCATAGCTTGTCTTCAGTTCTTTGCAGTTACCACTTTTGTTTTCCCATTTCAGGGTTGTGATTTGTGTTTCAAAGGGTTTTAGTTTCAAGACATTATTTGTATATTTTCAGAAGTGATGTGGATGATGAAGAGGAGGGGACAGTTACAGCATCTGGGTAACAGCAGGGCAACAGACCACTAGAGTAACATCGTCAGGGATGTAACTTTGAAGTAACGTCGGCAAAGATTTAACACTGGCGTAACGTCATAGGAGATGTATCTTTGAGATAGCAATCTCTGATCGATGTAACATTAATGTCTTGAAGATGTCCAGCGTGAGAAGAATTGACAACTGAACCACATAAACAACCAGAAGCTCCTGACAGGGTTGAATTCAACTCCAGACTGGGTTCAGGAGTTCCATGTCTGCTGCATTGTTTTGATGACAATATTTTGTTTGAAAGAGTGGTATGTTTGAGAAAAACATTTTTTTGCAATAGGGTGACATATGTAAATTGTTTTGAAATTTGGATCAAATTGTATTGTTTCATATGTTTAAAGTTTATTTATTGTCAAAATCTTGGCTCCTTCCCAATCAAATCTGGCTTAGTTTGATGAGTCAGTATTATCTAAAATTGAATTTCAATCTGGCTGCATTTTTAGTGTTCGTTTTTTTAAAATCAAAATTAGTGCACAGATGTGAATGATAAACAAAATCTGTAGCTTCAAGTCAAATGGAGTGTTATTTTTCCATCTCGAGTTGAAAACATCAATTGTGATCTCTTGCGGATAATAATTGCAAGATGACATATGAACTGCTGTTGCTTGTGTCTTCAATCACTGCTGCTGCCACCATCATGCCTGCCCCTCCACTGCTTGTGTCATATCCACCACTAGGCTATATGTCTCATAGCAACATGCCTGGTGTACACGCTGGGCTGTCATTGGTCGTTAGCTCTCATGTAGCTTGTATAGTCATCAAAATGCAGTGGTTAAAAAATATTAACCTCATTCATGACTGACTCTTGAAAAAGCAGCTCTGACTTGATTTTAAAAAGAAAACAATCACAGGTCGGATGTAAATAAGTTTTGAACATCTGACTTGGTATGATAATAACATTTTTATTGCTTAACACATAGAAAAATCTTACTGGACATCTTCTGTTCTTTAGTCAAACATTTTGACAATTTTTATATAAAATGTGATTATGATATATTTAATTGATTTGCATAATGTATTTTGTTTGTAAAATATTCCAATAGCATAATGAGTCTAAAACTTAAGGAAAATGTTTTTGAATTGCTGCATTGGCCTGTATACTCTCCTGCACCGTAGTTTGTTCGGTCTGTAGGTCCCTTGCACTGTGCTCTTGTTGGTCAGTTAGTTCTAGTGCACTGTGCTCTCATTGGTCTGTTAACTCTTGTAAAATGAGCTCACATTGGTCGTTTAGCTTTCAGATACACATAGTCTCAATTAATAATCTTGTCAATCTCATTGGTCTGTTTGCATTCGAACAAACTACAGTCTCATTGGTTGAAAGTGTATCCCTGTCTGTTTTGTTACATCTTAATGGATTTATTACGTTCCATGTTGATATGAATTGTTTTCTGTTGTTATATCTAGCCACATTGGTTCATGATGTGATAAATGTTAAGCAAAATTCTGCCTTATAGTCAGCAATATGTTGTGCCAAAGCTATAGTCTGTTGGCCAGAACCCGTTGTCGGTTTCCTGTTTTGTTAATACATTTCAAGATTTTATAAAGTTTCTGTTCATTTGTTATGGCTGTCTTTAGTTGAGATGACTTAGAGAAACATTCATTAGCTTGGTTCTTCCCCCGGTAACTCCAGTGTGTATCAGTGATTTGTCATGAATGATAACTATTATGCTTGATCAGAGAGGTGTCATTATTATTTTGTTTGTTTTTTGAAAATTGATTTTTATTGACTTTATTTTGTGTTCACATTCAGACATTACAAACCAATGTACATGAATTGTTTTGGTATGTACCTGTGATACAGGCTTGATGAAGTAAGCACCTCTGTGTGATTATGTGTAATACAAGTAAGTCATTTCCTATGTTGTGGAATAAATCATTACTCAGATGATAGCTTTCTGTTTAATGAATACTAAGCCTGGAAAGATTGCAAAGTGCAGTTGACTAAACACACAATGTTTCAATTTTATGCAGATTTGTAGATCTTATCGATAGAGACTCAAATAGTACAGAATTGCTAGTAGCCCAATCATCTTCGACACAGCAATTCGCTATGCAGAGTTGTGGCCCTTGGGTATGCCAGACACCTGTTGGTGTTGGTTCCAAATGTGTTGTGCCTGGTCATGCTTAAAGTTTGTAAGCGCATGTTCGTGGGTTTTATTGAAACATGGTAAACATCTGATACCTTCATCAATTTGGACATTCTCCCAGTTGTCATGTCGTGAGATAACTCAATTACTATTCAAAGAATCATCAAACTAACACTTAGCTTTTTGCTTAGTTTAAAGTTTGTGACAATGTTGTTGGTATGTGATGAAATTCAGTGCTTGTTCAGTATGGTTAGATAGAACATGAAGGTGCTTACTTCATCAGAAAGTTTGTGTCCGTGATCAGTTCCCTTGGAAACCACCTCTAACTCAAAAGGTCAACAAGTTTTAGAAAGAACTGTCTTATTACATGTGCACATGGGGACTCTCCTTTGATGCAATAGGGAGGAAAATCCAGAAATGGTATCCATCTGTGATAGTATAACTTTTATAGGATTAGTATTGTTTTATAAGAAAAGTGGATTTGTTTTATTGAGAAATTTCACTCTTGGTTACGTCACAACCTTCAGTTGTTCCTGAATGTTTTTGTCACATTGATTCGCTTCATGTCTCATTCTTCATATGTATTGGCATTACATCGTGTTTGAACTCATGTCCATGCCTAAACTTTGCATCGTCATCACTGATGTTTGGCCACAGTTGTAAGGAGCTGACGAAGGAAAGGAAATTAACATTTACGTGTACAGTATCCGAAAGTACTCACATCTACAGATTCTGTAAAATCTTTGAAATTTTTTGGTCAATCAGAATGTACACAATTGTTCCTCACGTCGTCATATGAGCCGAAATATTCTCAAGCACGACGTTAAACCCAATTTCACCTCACAATTGTTCCTAGCAAAGGTTATATTCAGACTATAATTCGTACTGTTTGTGGTTAGGCTTTGTAATATGTCAGGAATTCTGAATGTAATTTTCCTTTGAAAAGTTATTGCATCAGTCATGTGTAATCCGTATGTATTTAAAAATCAAAATGTAGCATTGTACCAAATATTTTGGGTTTGATCATAGCATTGTACCAAATACTATCATGATCATCATTGAGCATCAGTTTGATCAACTTGTCCATTGTCAAAATGGCAGATTTTCCTCTGGTTGTGTTCTCTGGTCCAAGATGACCTTGTAAACATTGCACTCAGAACTCTGTTTTGTCCCAGTAACTTCCTGTTTGCTCACGCCATGGCCCCCTGGGAAGGCTCCACATGTACAGATGTAAATATTCCAATTTCCCCATGTGCTGGCATAGGCGTCTCACAGCTAGTAGCAAGTAGAGGACTGCAAATTTCACCATCATTAATTGACACCATTTTGAATGAACACTGTCTCTTCTTGCCATATTTCCGGTGAGGATTACGTCAAATAATGACAACGTGCTGATATCCTGTATAAATATTCAGAGCTCTTATTGATTATTCAAACTATTTTTTGGTTTATTGCAGTGAATAATTAAGAATAACAATTACTAAAGAGACTAAGCAATTAATTGGCTCATATCTGGCAGATATTGAAAGGATGAATCTTAGGTCACTGTGATATTTATGTCAAATGATACGAAGCTGTAGTACCTGCTTAGAAATTTTAATAAATATTTTAACCTTTCAAATATCATTACAGTTAAGATTACAATATAGATGTACAATGTAAATGAGTTTTGTCCAATAATCATTTAGTTCGGACAAATTGTCAAAATGTTTCTGTTTTCTGATTACTCAATATCTCCAGCTCTTTAATCAGTGGAGGATGAAAATTAGAATCTGCCAGTCATTATGACTCAGAGCAGATTACATTCATCTTGTACACATCCAAAACCAAAGTTTCATTTATTGAAATTGGGGTCAACAAATATTGCTCCAACTTGATTTGTTGACCATAACTATGAAAATTATACATATAAATTTTACTGTGTTTAAAATGATTTATTATTAAATGTACAGAAAGAAACAATTCTGTGACAACCAATTGTAATTTTGATGTACTTGAGTCAAACCAGTCAGGATTATAATTATACCCTCTGGATTTCAGTGCTGCAGCCAGACTGAGTTAGTGTGGGATTCCCGCTAATTGTACTTTACCTTGGTGCTTTATTTATAAATGTATGCTCCAACGTTGGCACAAATTTTTAACACGTTTTTATATATCGGGAGCGTAATTAATTTCAAAATACGACTATTTTCATTGAAAGCGATGTCAAACATTTGGAAATCAAAATATTGAAACTTCCGGAATTCAAAACTTGGCATCCAAAGCTCTGCACATTGCTTGTACATCTATTTGCATATGAAACTGTAATATGAATGCTGTAAGGAGCCGTTTCACTGTATGGAGCTTGACTTGATGTACAGAGTTTATCACCAAATCCTTTTGGCTGTCAAAATGTCAAAGAGAAGGATTACAGATTATTTCACTTTTGGTTATTGGCCCACATTTTCTAAAGGAAATCCTGGCTGCAGTACTGGAATTTAGTTGTTGACAATAACTGCCTGTTCAAATACTGAAAAACAAAACAATTCTTTGAGATTGTCCCTTGATCATGTTAATATTGTTCATGCATTTTGTAAATTTACTCCCAGTTGGATGTCAAACAATCAGTTCATAAGCAGTTATTAGTTGTGGTTTAGTCCCTAGATCATACCCTGAAATGGTATCAGTTGCATAATATGGCTTGTATGTGTGATAGTCGTCTCCTACCACTGCATTTTCGAGAGGTTGATCTCCATTTATTGTATGAATTATTATAAATGCCTTGAAATATGATTGTGATAATTCGATTCCTTAGTCAAGTCGTATGTGATATGTTCCAGGGATAAAATCAAAGTGGGTGGGCTACACATCGTCTTTAGGATGGCAGGAACTAGAGTGTGTGTGATGAATGTTTGTTGAATTCTGAAGCATTTGATGATGTGTGTATTAATTTAGTTTCAGTGTATGTCACTTAGCATTGCCATGTCGTGTTCGAAGTCACTGGGATGTGGAGATCTTGTCAGGTTAATCGGTATCAGAAACTGAAGATAGGGTTAAGGTCATGTGTCTGAGGTCCATGTGGATTTCCCATACTTTATCTTGACCAAGTAAAGTTTGGATCAGGAGTAAGACAACAACAGGAGACTGTTGTCCTTATTTCCATTCTCTGTGCAGTGAATGAAATTTATGAATTTATTATATTTTATTTATAGTTTATAAGTTATTAATGACATTTTTGACATTGTAGGTTTCTGTGGAGTACATATGAATATTGTATTGAAGAAGAAAATATTTGTTAAAGCATAATAGAGTTGTCTCCCCTAGATGGACAAGGCAGTCAGTGAGGTAAGCCTTGCTGTAATGCATTAACAGAACATGGTTTCTACATCCTAGGTTGTGTGTGAACACAGACCTGATAATATTCTTCACATAGTTACATCTTGTTTTACACACAGTCTTGACTGGTTTAACGCAAGATGTCCTGTTTTGGTTGAAAAGCTTGGCAAATAAATATGTAACTCTGTGCATTTATTCCTTGACAGATTTACTGGTTTAGTCTTGTCCGTCAGCAATTTGCAGATTTATGTATTTTTCAAGTCTGAGAAATGTTTTTGCAGCAGATCTGTTGTATCGAATCTGTGTAAGTTGAAGGATATTACAAGGTCTGATATCCAGTGAAGTGAGTTCATGACTGCGTTGTCTTCACCTGTGTAATGTAATCATTCTGGCATGTCGTCTTTGCATTTATCATATTTACCTCTTTGTTCCCATACCCGAGATAAATGAGAAGTGTATACATATGTGTAACAATGTGTAATATTGTGACTGCCATGCTCATGTTGTTCATGCTAAGATAGCCATGTGTTTTTGTACAGGATGTGTATATTTAGTTTGGGTTGTATATTTAGTTGTACAATATCATGTACTGGACCATATGTCTTGGGTAGACTTTCCAGCCACATTTAATCAGTATTTTCTCTACATCTAAGTCAGTATATGCAGTATATGCAGTATTCATGTTAACCTGTGTCATCCTAAGAGCTAGACTTCGTGTCTGTCCATTATACACTCCGTGTTCGTTGGAGCAGATAGCTTTTATGGCTAACATAAAACATCTTCTGTAACCCACACTTACTAAGGTCTTTAGCATCAACAGATACCAGTACATGGAGGGACCTTTGGCAATCACTCAAAGTATCCACAGACAGATTTCTGGTACTGAGTGGTATCCACATCCACAAGTCCATGGTACTCCTGGTATTCGATCTTAATATTTCCAGGGTGCTCACTCTGACAGACCACTGAAAGTTGTTGCAGGTTAGATTTAGATGCACCAAGAATCTTTACAAAATAAATTTACAAATCATCTTGAATACAGTAACAAACTATGAAGGACTGATAAAATATGTTTCTCATGCAATTCCCATTCTTGATTGTGATAATTGGGTTGTTAAGTGTAATTGTTCATAATGAATGAGTGGCTGCAAACCAGGGTCCCCTTTCACGTAACAACCTTTACTAAGGTTGACCTTAACTCCCATTCTTTAACAGTTCACTAAGGTTACCTTAGTGACTTATGATCACCTTAGTGCTTTGTGAAAGGAGGCCCAGAGGTATGTTACAGACTCTGATGTGACATTGTTCACTCATTGTATTATGGGTAATTAACAAGTAATTAGAGCTCATATTATTAGCTTTAAATTAGCAGCTTGGGAAAAGACGTCATAATTGGTTTCTATGTAACATCTGTTATGTGTTGTATGTTTGCATCATTATGTTTCTGTTTGGGAAAAGAATTATACTGTTTCCTGATTGGTTGTTAATATTCAGTTGTCGGCAAGGTAACTGTCTGGATATGCTACACAATAAATGTGTTTATTAAACGAAGGAAAGGTTGTTGCTGCACTGAAGTAAGATATGTACTTTAATGATGGCCAGATATTTCTGACTTGGTGTAATGCCTGTGATGACCAGTGTATCTGGATAACGTAACACACTATAAATGTGATACATGTTCTTGAAGACTGGCATGAGTATTGTTGCTAAGTAAATGGCAAGTCATATTTGACTTAAAACATATATAACTTGTTTTATAATTGAGACATTTGTGGGAATGGCAATGTAGTTTTAATAGACTTGTGGCACTTCTTATGAAGTTTGTAAAAGCATAATCTTGGTGCATTTTAACGTAAGTTGTGATGTATCTGATAACTGACCTCTCAAAAGGGCACGCAACTATTGTATGGTACATGACTTAAACCAAAGCTTCCTAGCCAACACTTTATTCCTAAATAGACGTACAACATGGAATGACTTCAGCTGTGCCATGGTACTGGTGGAGAGTGTGTTAGACTGTGTTTCATGTCGCACCATGTCTGTCAATGTAGGATACCCATGTAAGCCATTGCATTGTTTGAAGTGGCGTTCGGCTCACTTACTGTCGTATTATAACTAAAAGCATGATCACAAGTGCCCAGCCTTCTGCCGTGTTCGCTTTCAGTGAACAATGCTTGTGTTTGTCAACCAGTAACTGCCATGCTTTCATGAAAGACATATCGATATCTCACAAGATGGCCCTTCGAACACAATGCCCTTCCAAAGTGAAATATTGTGTGAAGAATCTGGATAGAAATCGATCCCAAGTAGCTCTTTTTTTTATGAGTACAGACAGAGATTGGATGATTGGGACCTGGCTGAATGTATCATCATACATTGAACGCAGGATTGTTGCTTGCACTGTCAATCATTGGTTGGTATAGACCAGGCTCAATTATGGTGGCTCCCATGGTATGTGTAATCATGTAGGCTACAGAGTAATACAACATTCACTTACTCAGTCGCTTGCAGAACTGCATTTATAAAGCTATTATCTCTCAGTAACTTGTTCAAGATGCTTATTGGGTTTACTACAGTATTTAATGTCTGGAAGGGGCGGTGGGGTAGCAAATGGTTAAAGTGTTTGCCTGTCCAGCTGAAGACCAGGGTTCAATTCCTTCCATGGGTACAATGTGTGAAGCCCATTTCTTGTGTCACCCTGCCATGATATTGATGAAATATTGCTAAAAGCGGTGTTAAACCATACTCTCTCACTCATGTCTGGAAACAGTTCCTCTCATCAGGCAAATCCAGTTAAATTTGTAATGCTCTTTTGTTTTTGCTGAGATGTAATTGCTGTGAATATTACCAATCAATCTTGTCCAGTAATGATGCATTTCCTGTTTGTTTTGCACATATCAGTGTGAAAACACGCTCAGGCCATCACGCAGAAGAATTATATTATTTTCTAAGTGTGTTGAAAAAGTATCAGAAATGATGCTGAAAAGTATTTCTGAAATTGCCAAATGTTGGTAAGATCCAAAGATGTTGGACTTCCATTTGTTTGTGTTGTGACCGTCATAGCAGGGAAAGGCTGAGTACACTTGTTTAAAGAATGTTTCATATGTTTTGTTGGGGATACTGGACATTGTCAGAATTCAGAAAACGTCAGTATTGTTTGTAACAAAAGGGATCTTCGAATGCCACAGAACTGTTATAGAGTAAAGTATTTGATATACTAGATATGACTGGTAATATCCCATGACAAAACTTACTTGGTCAGGATATACCGTGAAGCATTTGTTTATTCACATATCTGCATGGTACATATGTATCTTTTTTAATTGTCTCCATCATTACTATGGGAACAAGATCAAACTTTACTGTCAACAGGGGTCATTTTTGGAGTTCACCCTAAAGACTCTTCAAGAATCTCCACTTTGGATGTCAGCCAAGTTGTCCAGCTGGGTCTTTGGAAAATTCAAATTCTGCCTCTTAAGTAAAATTTTGCAAATGCACCAAAACAGGTTCAAATTGTTCTGAAATCAGCTTACAGTTTCTAGAGCTGATATCAAAACTTTTGTACTTATAAGGGATGTATTGGTATTGGCAGTAAGAAACTTGATAATCTAATTACAACAATAAAGCCAAGAAACCAATAATATTTTAAATAAATCAAATTATAAATTTATAAATTATTTAAGAATGCAAGTATCAAGCTTTGCAATAAAACATCTCTTCAAAGGGATCCCTTTAGTTGTAAAATCTGTCATTTATACTGGTTGGGAAACTGTGTGACTGTTTCATCCTTCATGGTTCAATTCATTGTGTAAATACCAGTACTGATGTCACAAGGGGTATTGTCTGGTAACATTTTCTCATATAACCCACAAACAAAACCATTGTTTTAAGCCTATGGTATTACTTTCCTATGTGTTGCCTTGATCCTGTTTCTCAGCACTCTACCCATGTTGGAGGGTTTCACCACAGTGGTAAACATCAGAGACATGCATCACAACAGACTTTCCTTCTACAGCAAGCCAGCCGGGCATGGTGTAACTGGAATGCTGTTCAAAGTGGTGTTAAACCCACTCGTTCTTTACTAGACTGTATGTGGTACTGCTTCAACTGCAGCTTTAAATATGTCATGTATTATTATAGATCTCACAAAAATGAATGAATGCTAGTCTTGAATGCCAATTCAAGTTTATTTTCAACATTGATGGGTCATGAATACGTTCCATAGTTGTGAAAATATGGTTTTGGTTTAAGTTTGGGGTGTAGTCTTTCCTTTGTTGACAGAATTTATCTTACTCTTAATTTAATAAAAGAAAGAGGTATGTTCTTTAGTTTCAGAAACTTTGGGAAACTGTAAGTAAACAGTGGACTCTGTCTTGTACGATGAAATTAATCATTGGTCAATTTTTCCGTTCAATTGGACACCTACACACAATTGTAAGTCCTTTGCTATGATTGTGTTCAGTGACTTTAAGGGAAGTTAGGATGTCAAATTTATTGCAAGTTCTGGAGCAAAAATATCATTACAATATTCTAGGATCTGTTTTGGAAATGTATCTTTCTCCACATCTCCAAGGTTTCAGCTGTGCAGGATTTTTACCTGTCTTGCTTCATGTATTAAGCTGTAATGATAATCTCATTTTGGACCTTTGTCTGAATTTATTTTCAGTATTGCATCCGTTCTTTGAAACTAGTTTTCTCCACATATTAGCACTGTCTGAGACCTTTTGTCTCTACTCTCTTCACAAGTATGGGATCTCGCCATTCCACGCATGTTTAAGATTTTAACTGGGAATGTTTTGAGTTAAGTAACAACATTTTGGATATTTGTTTTGACAAAAAGGTTGTATATTTGTGTGACATTTCTGGTCTGCATCAGTGTTGAATTAAGGGAATTTGTGTACACCTCTGTTACTACTGACAGTTTCAACAGTGACAGATCTTATGTCTTGTGGCTTGTTCAGCTTTGTCGTGTTCTCAATGGACACTTGTTAATGCTAATCTATGTACAGCAGATACTAGCTATTGATTTAGTTATGGAAATATTAAAAAATATCAAATGCTGAAATAAATATGTCAAACTATTGTTATGTTTGTGTGTATTGTCTGTTTAAAGAAGATGGTTGCAAGGACAGAGTTTGCTGCAACAGAGATTGGATGGTTGGAACCAGGCTGATTGTGCCATCATATCTTAAACACAGAATTTTTGTTTGTAGTCATCCAGATACAACATTCACTCACTTGCAGAACTGCGTTTATAAAGGTTTAAAAGCTATTATCTCTCAGTAGCTGAGGTCCTTGCTCACAGCCCTGTTATCAGAGGACAGTTTGCTGCGACATGTTGGATCGCTTATATATGTGGACGATACACTGATTGTGGGTTTGAACCCCAGATTCATCTGAAGTCATCGTGTAAATAAGTAACCAAAGTGGTAAAGATCTGGGATCTGCTCCAACAACATCCAAGCTGTTACTTCAGTTACGTAAAAAGTTGCTCACATGCCAGAAATAACTCAAACCTAATTCATTGTCCTACCAAATGATTTTACATCCTGGACAAACAGCTGAAACCAATCTGCAAACACATTGGTTGAAACAAGGTGATAACCTTGGGTGGTAGTTCAGTCCCTGACAATTTGTATAGCTGTACAGCTGAAAACCCCATTGTTTTGTGTGCATATCCCAAGGTAAAATTAATGTCTCAATGTATACAATTCCATCATAATTCAATACCAGTCAATATGTTCAAATTCTTGCAAAGACCAGTGAATTGCTAGGGGCGACCATGATTAACTTCCTCCATCACTTACAAACACAAATCCAGACAGCTCACAAGCTTATGATGAATTCATTTTTATTTCTGAAATCCTGAATTTTCTTCTATCCATTTCTTAGACATGTCAGTAGCATGCCGGGTCAGCATTATATCAGTTTAAAAGCAAGCAAATCAGTGAAAATAAAAGCACTCCTATAATAATGACATATTACTGTAATTGAGACATGTCCCAAGTAGTTGACCCAACAACATATCAAAAAGCTTGGAATTCTGTTCTTTACCTGCTGGTATTATTATCTCAATCTCCTCAGTCATTTATCTGCAGACATGTAAAATTTGGTCAATGTGGTGAAATAAAACAGAATAAATTTTGATGAGAATATTTTAATTTTACAAAATATTTTCAGACATAGTTTACAAAGACAAATTGGAGGGTAACAACTATGCACAAACTTGGCTACAGATTGCCTACAAGCCAAGTATAGTTAATATAGCAACATAATATACAATCAAGTAAGCATATGTACAAAAGCAAAATTGAGGACACAACATAGAGCTGATTACGAAACTGTGCTGTGGGCAGTCAGACACTACTGAATCAAAGTTCTGGCTGCGTTAGGCTACAAATCAAACACACAATGTTTAATCTTGTATGTACACAAATTATTTGTTGCAATACCAACTGCTAAAATAGGAATCTGTTAACGTAACAGTTCAGGGTGACACGCCAGGCTCTATTGGTAACTGGTAGACAAGCAGGTAGTGTGGTGGTTAATGGGAAGAGGAATTAGTCAACTCTCGCGCCACGGCATTCAAAAGGATGTAACCTTCAGTAATAATTACACCAAATTCACTGATGAATTTTTTCCAAGACAAACTGGAAACAAGCGTCAGTAGTTGGCAATTATGGATATGTTATAACACACAACAGGAAAATGACAAATTTTACAAACTGATATACACAGATTCACTGTATTCCAATGAATCTTACATTTCATAAACACTATAAATAATTAATGCACACATAATTCTCATCAGCAATTTGTTCAGTCTTAAATAGTATACCTCTGCAGTTGTCTAGCTAATAAGATGAGGACCATTTACTCCAGCCTGCCACAACGAAGATGGCAGCCAGAGCCTCAACATCAGGTCACACAACCCTGTGAAGAACACTCGACACAAACTTCTCACTGTTAGTGTAGTCCGGAACTGTGATCAATGAGGTATACATTCTTGAGGAGCTCTCTCGCAGATGAAACCAGAGTGGTCTCCCTTTGTGATGAAACCAGAGTGGTCTCCCTTTGTGACAAAACCAGAGTATTTTTCCTTTGTCACCTGAGAAATGTGTGCCTTATGAAGCACATGCTCGGCATTAGCACACTAGCAGAGGATAATAATCACGTAACACACAACAGACTGCTACAGATCTATGTCGGAAGCATACATGGGAATTACAGACTCACTGACCGGTCCAATCACTGCAGCAATGCAACACTCAAAGCTGACCATTTGAAATCATTGTTAGAGATGACGGGCAGTCAAACATCCTTGAACAGCTATCATGGCACAAAAATACTTTGATTGTTAGATGTTTCAAGTTACATTGCAATTGCAGAACATGTCATCTGACTGGCAAAGTATAAGCTTCCCCTTCTTCCCCACTCACACACTGACAATGGCATAGTTGCGGTTAACATTGAAATGAATTTGTCAGATCACATTGGAGTTTAGTCCACATATCAAGTAACTATCATCAGTTCAGATACTTACAGATGTCATAACAAAAATACCCTAGCTAAAAATCAAATTAACAATGTCTGAAAGAGTTCAACTTCTATGAAAACATTCTGAAAGATCAAAATATTATCTCCATGTGCACGAATCTGAGTCACTTGAATCTATATTCCTGTAGGTTTGTGACACAAATACACTATTAAGTCATACATTACATGAAGAGTGGGTGAAGAAATTTATATACAGACAAGCATAGGAACACCAAATGAATATACTACAGTATCACAAGTCATAACAAGTCATGATAAAGAACAAATCTCAGGAGAACACAATTCCGTCCAAGATCAGTGTCCTTCTGTGACACTCCGACTCTTGTAATCACGTGAAGCTAGTGACTAGAGTAAGGTTCTATCCCTATAACAAACACCCTCACTCTCAGGTAGTGTTCTCACTAGGCAGTGGCCACAACATAATTACCTTGTCCAACATACTTCTGTGAATCTCAGTGCAATTTTCCTTAGTCCCATACTGACTTCCTTGCAACTGTTCACAGCTCGTGACTCATGTCAGAAGATATTGAAAGATTCATCATGTCTAACACATGAAAAGTCTGACCCATGATGAAGGGCTATGTAAATCACAATATCAATGAGAATGCAAACATTTGCAACTTAACAACAAAATGATAACATAAAGAAACATTTTCATATTTCAATTGTTTCACGTGCACTTTAGCTCATAATTTTCTATTGTCAAAAGAAACACTCCAAATGAAAGCAAATCCTTAGCTTACAGAGCAACTTCGACATTAAAAATAGGCAGGCAACTTTGAATTTTTTAATCTACTAAACCATATTCGCTTAGTACTGTAAACAAATTGATGTACATTCTTAGCGATATACTCCTGTCACATATGCAGAAACGAAGCAGTCCAAGATTAGGTTCAGACATAAGACTTGGTAGGTCAAACAGTCATAATGGCTTGATGAAACCAAACAAACACAAAACACAACACTTGACAGAAGAAATGAGATGGACAACTACGATGCGGACGGACATAGTGACTTGTTTGCTTGTGATGTCAGTTACATAAAGTGCCCACAATATTTAGCATATGAGACTTCTGTTATCCTCATCTACAAGCCTACAGTGGCAGTAGTCTGTCACCTGAAACCTTGTCAACAAACCAATATATCCATAGCTTCCTGTTATGCAATAAATAAATCCTTATCTGTCAACCATCAAACAAATATATCCTTTTCACAATGAATAAACCAACAAACAAAGCCAAATCTCCAAAAGTTCAACGATAAATTATACTTCAATCTTTTACTGGCCACTGAATATTTACTAGTGTACTTCTCCATAAAATATATCTTAAAGGTTTTGTGTAATTACTTATACAACATTTCTTGTACATTGTACTAGAATACAATAGGTTAAATAGGAATTTGGTATTATTTCCCTAACTACTTAACAAATCTCTACAGCAGTTATACTCTGTTCACTGCAAATAAAATTTAAAGATGAAGTAAAATAATACATATATATCTGAATTCAGCTGCCATATGCTCCATTGGAACCTGCACTGTCTATTGCTGAGGTCACAAGTCTGCATCTGAAGTAATCTTTTCTTAATACACTGCTAAATCGTACCCATGGAGCATGAGATAACTGTTTGATATTGACAAAAGTGTTTCTTTCAAATACCAATGTACATATAGCCTTGATGAGTTGTCTTCCCATTGATTAAGAAAATAATATGAAAACCAAAGTAATTGTCTTATGATTCAACCTTTCCTTGAAGCAACTTACTTACATTAATCAAATAAGCATGAAAACAATTTTGAAATTTAAATCAACTTTCAGACAAGACAAGAGTCTACTCAATCTTTGACATATGACATAGAAAACCAATTCAATACAATATTTCCCTGAACCTTTCCAAAGCCATATATTATGCTCCAGCTATTGTATATATAAGTATATACAGTGTTGACTTAAACAGCACCACTTATGTAGGATGACAAAGTAAAATGCATATGACACTGTATGACTTTCTGATGACTGTGTTCCACATGCAAGTAAGCCATCTACTGTAGTGACACACTCACTACAAACACTTGACTAAAAATTTGAAATAAATAATGACATTACAATTGATCCTTCAGTACTACAGGTCATTACAGTCTGAGGCACACAGACTTCTCTAGTAAGTGATCAGTGTAGTTTACAATACACATAAATAGACAATCTTCTTGTGAATCTCATTAACAACATTTCTGTGACCATATACATAGATATTCTCATCAACTTGTGGTGACAACTTCCAACCAATCAATAGCCAGCATAACCCATGGGGGTAAATAGTTTTGGTATAACTTCCTAGCATACCAACTGGCTAACCTATGCTCATTGTTAGTTACTGGTAGGCGGTCTAGCAAAGTGACATCCTATCAGTGCATTGTGGCAGAAAACTGTCGTTTGTGGTATCAAAGATTATTTAAATGAAGACTCAGGAAGAGTATGTTGGCTTCAGAGATCCATATGTATGTGACAGGCATCTCAAACATTTCACTTTCCTTAAAATAAACTGATTATGTCCTTTGGATAATATTAATGTTGCAATCTTCACCTGAGAATTGGGAATTACAACAAAAATTAACTTAGGACAGTCCATCTGTAAATTCCCTTAGCTTGTGAATTAAGTATCAATAGCAATTTGACAGGAGGTATTCTGAGATCTCCACAAGAAAGATTCTGAAAGTGTGATAGAAACATAAATGAAGGTTATTGCAGGCTGTAGCTATAAATTAATGTATTGGTTTAAGAAATGTAGAATGCTGATTGCGTGCAAGCACCTAATGCAACAATCCTAACACTGAGTCTAGACTGGCTCCTGAAGGAGTTGATGACTCTCTGCCAAAACTCCAGCACATTGCTTTGGCACACAGGATAACTAGATGAACAATTGTCATCAAGCCAGACACAGTAGCAGGGAGCAGACGAGTGAGCGAGCGAGCAATCAAGCAAGCGAGCACAGGCGGGCATTGAGGGTTTGGAGTCGAGTTGTGAGGTCACAGCATGGATGTTAGGAGTTCTTGATCATCTTGTTACGGTTGTTCACCTCCAACTTGTCCAGTCGACGCCACAGTTCCTCACGATCCTTCTCTCTCTCTTCTTTTCCCTGCAAAACAATGCACAATAATAAACACATATACAGAGGATATCTTCCAGTTGAGGTTGGTCATATCATAGAAGGACATTACAAGATATAATAAAATTCCTTTTGGTCAATCACGCACCACAGGATATCAGTACATGTCAGTCACCGTTTCGAGGCACATCAAGAAGGCTTGTAAATAGTCTTTCTGTCTTTGTTGGTAATTAAACCCCTCAGCAATATTACATCTATACAATGGGGGTCTGGAAATAATCAAGTCTGAACCAGACAATCCAGCAACAGACATCATGAGCATAGATCTACGCAGTTAGAATATTATGACATGTATCAACCTAAAGTACTGTCAGAAATAGAAAAAAAACCCTGTTTTTTGGCTGTTACTCTGTATCCCTAAAATTTACACAATTGCAAATAGCACATATCGAAATAACCCACATCAGCCTAACTGGGCGTTCAGTGGGATGCGTAATAGGATATCTAGAAAAGCATGTTTACTCGTAAAATCGGGCAAAACTTAGAAAAAATATGAATAGCTGCTTAAAACAATAGATCAGACTATAGATGACAATTAAGTCGCTCGGCCAGGTATGATGAAGGACCGTTGACACACCGAGCATGGAATGGACGTGCTGCCTACGTCCATTAGGGGTTACCTCAGTGATATTCTGTGCGTTTTCTTGTGTGTTGAATATGTCTCAAATATTGATTAACATCTAACGTGTCTTTTTTTCATAAATATTATGTTGAGATATGTAAAACAGTATGATACCCATAGAAAGGCTAAAATCAGCCATCATATTAAATGTCTCAAAATATATAGGTAGCATGGCCACCCGAAGATCGCAATGAATGAATATTATTTGTAAATTGTTACTTCCCAGTTTAATTCCCCTAAAGGATTATCTTATCTTAGCTGATATCTCTATCCCCAAGCCTGACCCCAACCATCATCTGCGACACCCGACATGGTTTGGCTTTTGAGACGACCCCCCATGTCTGTTTGTTTATATAGTGGTAGTGAAACTCCATGGTAGCTACATCCTTAAGAGTTTCACAAGTAAAAATATTATTTTGTACGTCAGCTATGGTTTCTAATGAAGCTAAGCCTAATTTCAAAATTAGCATTTAAAAAGTGTCCTTTGTAATACAATATCATCGCACACTAATTTGCATAAAGCCAAGGTCTGTTCAAAATAAGTCGAATTGGACTTAGAAAAAACCCACATTGCTCATTTCTGCACTATTCTCTCCTCAATGAAGTCCTTTTTCTATGTTTCCTATGTCCCTACCACCTAGACTGTTGTTAGGCCGAACTTAGTTTAACAGATATTTCACACTTTCACACATTAACTACATAAATTGTGGATCTAAATGTGAAATTGTTTTTTTTCTATTTCAGACAGTACTTTAGTTAGGGATACTGACCACAAGAATCTGTTAGTCTGCCTCTTACAACGAGCATGGGTTGAAGAAGACAAGTTCTTGCCTGGATCTTCACAGGTTATAAATAATCTAGACTAGACAAACCAGTGACTGAATGCATGAGCATGATCATGAGGACCAATTCTGACCCTGAATCCTCTCAGGGCTTAAAACTTTCAAAATATTGCCACAGCCTGGATATGTTGTTCAAGATATCTCAAAATACAGGCACTAAATAAAAGTTGCTGTGACTACTGATATTCAAATAATTAATGTGTGTTCAATCCCTGAACAACCTAAATAGAAACTTGCTTTCATTTGGTTTAAAATGGCCAAGTAATGGCCATGAGCAGCATTTTCTTTATGACTGATGTGAGGGCCATATCAACCTTTTTCATCTAAAGTGCAAAGGTGAAATATAGGTCTAAATTTAAATGAGAAAAATGGTAGAAAAGCTTTAAGCTCAACTAAGTACATATATACACAAATGTCAAAATCAAAATGCCAAACACGCACGCACGCACGCACGCACGCACGCACACACACACACACACACACACACACAAAATATGATGTACAGAAAAATACCAACTTTTGTCTTTCAGCTTTGTAATTAGCTGTGAGCTCATCGAACAGTTTGCTGTTCATCTCCATGAAGGTCTTCAGGACGTTGTAGACCAGAGCCACAATGGTCTGATTCCAGTGCTCTTTAGAAATCTTGTATAGAGCTGGGAACATGATTGGCAACACCGCATTTGAGTTCTCCTCAATCAGACTCATGATGTACTCGTTGTTCCAGTAGTATAAAGCTCTTTCTGCAACCTGAAATGTACACACCATCTAGGTTAGTGACAAATCCATTTTGCATTCTAACCAGGCATATCAAATAGAATTTATTAATATATATTATATATATATTAATAATATCACATATGTAATTTTCTTGCAAAATCAGAAAACTTAAAGTGTATAGAGAGCAGTTCTTGTAGATATGCACCTGGTGATTCTCAATGCATATCTGCCAATAAAAGCCATACTATGTCACAGTCCTTCATTGTTGAGACAAATATAATGTTATATGACGTCACAAATCAACAAGTGTTTGCCACTGTGTGTGTGTCTTGGTGAGGGATGACTGTACAAATCATGAGTTATCTGATTTAAGCTAGCTCTTTTCAGGCTGTAATCAATTCCCCACATGGGTACCATGTGTGAAGCCCATTTCTGGTGTTCCACGCCATGATATTAATAGAATATTGATAAAAGTGGCGTATAACTGAACTCACTCACTCAGGCTATAAACTCTGAGAATGCCCTTGATCCTTGCGATGGCCATACAGAAGATTTGTATAACATTGTATCTCTAACATGTCCAAGCACATCCACTCTTCAAATTCTTGCTCATCAATGACATAAATATAAATCATTTCCCCATAGAAACCTCTTCTCCGCTGATGTGGACATCAATATGCATGCCAACCAGTTTACAGGACATAATTTGAGATAATTTATAACGGAAACTTATTGCGTACACTGTTTCAACTAGTACCACCAACTACTGATTCACCCATCCAAGCAGGTTAAACAGCCACCATTGTTAATGTGCAGCTTTACCATCATGATAAATTATTTACTTGCTTTTAAGGCTCAAAGAGGATTAGGATGTTCCCAACTTTGAAGAAAAGATACATCAGCATTAATTCATGCTATCCCAATCAATATCAAGAACATGTGATTTAACCACATTTCATCTGACAGCACTTCTAAGAAAGACTAAGATATTGATGGATGACCTTAGCCATTAAGCTCTTCAATACATGGCACAATGTACATGTTCCTGGATGCAGACAGCCATGAGGATAAGTAGGTCACATTGCAGGTCACGGTGACTTCAGGATGACACTTGTTCAGGTTCCCAAGTGACGACATGGGTGTGGCAAGAGTGTGTGAACTCGGTGGCATCAATAATACAGAGGCTTATATGAGCACAACTGTGCATAAACCTGTCAGCATCTTTAGCCACCATCTTAAAGCACTAGGTTTCTGTGCAGCTGGTTCATGTAGTTAAAGATAGAAATGTAAGAGGCTAGGTGAAATCGGCTTTAACTTTGTGATCACGGGTATTTCAGTTACATTGTGTAGCTGTTTGTACTTATGGCTGAATTTTTAGAACTACCCATCTGAGATCTGACAGTTTAACATAATACCCCACTCAGGTACATTATATAATTCCAAACTGACCAGTCTGTTTATTTACGTATGAACATATTTAGTTTTACGCTGCTGAGAGAGAGAGGGAGGGAGAGAAAGATAGAGAGAGAGAGAGAGAGAGAGAGAGTGAGAGTGAGTGAGAGAGAGAGAGAGGGCCAGGCAGGGCAGGAAGTAGTGCCAAGTCTTAGTATTACATAGCCAAGGGATTGAACTACCAACTTTATGCCCCCCTGGACAGACTCCCCATCAAATACACCATGGCGGTAATCCACAAACTGTATGCCATCATGAATAACAATAATACAGGGAAATTCATAGTAGAGCTAGTTACACTTTATCTCGACTGGAAATAAGGAAGATTTGATTATGTCACGGATATCATAACATTTCCTGTCCTACAATCACACAATAACCACATTTTCAAATTTAGACTTAGTGTTTACTCACACTGATCTACACAAAAGAATACTAATTGCGCAAAACAAGATTAAAGTTATCCCAACCATACAAACTGTAGGAAAAGTGTTCCTCATAGGAATATCACAAATCTGAACCACTTGGCTACTGAACAAAGATATGAATACTGGTTTTCACATTATTTAAGAAGACAAACCAACCCATAATCTGTCCAGTGTTCATGAATGGTGTTTCCAAGTAACAGGATGTCTGATGTGTCAGATGTCTGTCTGACCCATTGAAAATTCACAGGACCCATAGAATAAAATTAAACACACATTTCAGATTTAACATTTCTTATAATTGGCATTGAAATTATTAACAAACATAAGATTTATAAACAGCAAACAAGTGTCACATGTCAATATAACAACTTCAGTCAAAGTCATTGTGAAATATACAGTCAGACACTAGGGCTGGCGGGTTGTAGACTTCTATCAGACCGTTGGCGAATCTGCCGGATTTGTCAGAGGGTCAGACGCTATTCGTGAACACTGCTGTCATCCAAGTTACTGTCATGATCCCAATTATAACATTAACAGTGATTGATTTCACCCTTTGTAAAGATAATATGAATAAAAAAAACAGTCATGTAGGTCATTGCTCAACTTTTGAAGCTTACTACTTTTGAAAATGACAACAAAATTAGCAATGGTATATCTAAATCATATAGATGATGTGTACATTTCTATTTAAAAAGACCTGAGAATAATTGTGTAAAAAATACCATTCTTATTTTGACCTTTAAAGGTCACATAAACCCTAGGGGGTACAAATACATAAATCACTAACTGGCATCGTTATAAATAACACCCCGTCATTAAAACTACTCATTTCAACCTTTAATTGACTTAAATCGACCTTTTTGACAACAGTGCACAATTCTCACCCGCGAACGAAATTTCAACCAATCAGAGCGGCGCGCCTCTGTGACGTCATATGAGGAATAGCTTTGAGGGCCGATGCAGAATTCATCTACATTTTAGGGGTTAAATTATCTTGTTTACAGGCTTGTATAAACCTGAAATCGTGACAATTGTTGTGGAAAATGAAAGCTATATGTTCTCACAATCTACTGTCATTTAATTTTGTCTCCTGCTTAGCCTAGTTTCCAAGTTACAACTTGTTTTCATAGACAATTCTGTCAAAATCGATTGGTGTCGTTAGGCCCTATTTGTATAATGACTGATCCAAATTGATCCCATTTCTGTGTTTTTTTACCTCGATATTTAATCATGTCATGTAAAAATCTGTATTCTCAAAACAGTGTCGGCCCATAAGTTTTCACATGCAATACAGCAATTAATACTCCCTTGTTGTAACCCGTGTTAGGTGGTATAAACCTACACATGTTATTTGTCATCATTCACTTGATGGTCAGTTAATGAATTTATAACAGGTATAATTAGTGGTAACACACTTAGATTACCCGACAAAGGTTCCCATTTGGCATTTCTTGTGTCTGGAGTAAATATTCAACATTATAAACATCGATCAAAGGATTAACCGATAACCCGCTGATTGATTAAATACTTTTATCTTACACAGCGGAATTGTCAAAAGGTAGTGTTTATGAATGTAGATTTACTTATCTATACTGAATACACTCTGTCGTGTCGGTGTCTGCGTAAAAACAACGTCCTTCTTTCAAAGGATTAACCGGCAATACATTGATTGATTGCCCATTATTGGCTAACTAAATTACTGTTTTTAAAGAAAGGCGGACATTATGCAATTAGTTGCCAGGTGTGCTATCTTGGTGGCGAAAGGGGACTATACACCAATACCTGAAAAGATTTATCACTTTTTCGTATATTAAACTGTTAAAAGACACATCATTTGGAACAGTTTTGTGGATATTGATGGATACATTCCTCGAACAAGGTAATGGCCTGATATTGTTCCTATAACTTTAATCCGTTTTAATTTTAATATTTGCAATTTGTTTTTATTCATTTGTCGTAGCATTCAACAGAATCATTGTTTTCGCCCGTGAAGTGTAATGAGACAGACAACATGCACTAGGTGTGTTAATGCGAATTATGATTCACATTGGCAAACTATAAAATGTCTAGATATTACAGTTCTGTTATAAATTCACTATAAGTATCAGCAGATCGTCAGCTTTTTATTTAGTTTCAAAATGCATGCAAGTGTGATAATAAACTAATTAGGATTATAATACCAAATATAAAGACGCACATTGACTAGTATCTACATACTGGTGAGTGGACATTAACCATGGGAATGTAGCAAGAAATGTATCGCGCAGTATTGTGACTTCGACCCCCACCTTGCTTCTGTGGAAGAAATCGTTATGTTATAAGTTGTGTCATGCAAAATCCGTTTGGTTATGATTCCAATACATATTTAACTACAAGTAGAAAGCAGTCTTTATTTTCTAACTTGATGAAAACAAACTATAATCTCATTAATTCTAACAGATTTTTTATTTTTAAAATGGATACCCTGTCGGGAACATCCGCCAGTCTGAGGATAAATGGTATTTAGGTTTGTTTTCACCGAGTTATAAAATCAAAACTACTTTCTACTGGTAGTAAAATATGTATTTTATTGATGGCCAATAGGATTTTGCATGACATAGTAATATATATCATAACAATTTCTCTCGTGGCAGCGAGGTGGGTGTCAATATAATACTACTTACAATATTATTGTTACCGACCACAACCTCACTTCCGAGGAAGAAATCGTTATGTTACAAGTTGTGTCATAGAAAATCTTTATGGTCATCAATCATATGCATATTTTACTACAACTAGTAAGTAGTTTTGATTCTTTAACTTCCGTGAAGCGATCTGAACACAAGTAAGATATCGTTTCAGGCTTCCACAACGCCAGCTTCAAAGACTCACAAACATAACCCATTTAGCACGAACTGCGGGGTCCTGTGGAAATCTGTGCATGGGGACACCATCGCCCGACCCTACGAGCAATTGGCGACAAAGCAACGATTTGGCATGTCGTCGTTGATGTCGAGAAATCATCAAAATGATGAGCGTGCTACACATTTTCTATACAACCAACTGAAAATCGTTCCTCATATGACGTCACTGCAGTGCTCTGGCGACAGAGTTACGTAACCTGTCTGTGGTTTCGTTGGTGGGCGAAAGGGAAGCAGGCGACTTTTTGGCCACTTTTAATCGCTCGGTATCAATTAACCACAAGTTTTTAAAGAATAAATTTGGTGTTCCGCATAAGACTAACCACAAATCTTTCATATGTAATGGTTAAAAGAGTAACAAAAAACAAAGTTTATTGGTTCTTTAAAGATCTGTGTTTGCACATATGAAACATCATTTCACAGGCGTGAAGTCACACAACATTTCTATAGTTATATCAATAACCTTGAAGATGACCTTATCCCATCACATATATTAAAAATATGCAGTCTGTGATTTGAGTCACTGGTATAAAGCTGTAGTCTGGCAACATTTTGTTTGTTCAGGAAAAATTAGTCCATATAAGAACACTAAAACTGACCAAAAATGTTGAAACAATTGGCAAATAATCTCAAGTGGTTTGGCCGAAATGAATGTGTAAAACAACTTCTGAGAGAGATCACAGCACCACATTGGTCAATATAGTACAATAGGTGAGGTGGTGAAGGTGAGGTGAGGTGAGGTGAGATGGGGTGTAATGTCGTGCTTGAGAATATTTCGCTCATATGACGACGTGCATGCGTGTGTATGTGTATGTGCGGCTGCTTGTACTAGCCCAGACTGAAGCTGGTTTTATAGTGCTAGCCCACTCAGATACCATGCCGCAGTGAAGCATGAATACCCCACTCAAACACATTATATTGACTCCGAGCCGACCAGTCCTTGTTGTACCCATTAATGCCGAGCGCCAGGCAGGGACCAACAAGTACCAATATAGTGCAATACATGGTAGTGGGGTGGTGGTGGCAAATATTACAACATTGAGTAGCAGCACTGGTGCAACACTGATGAAATGTCAGCTGGACCAAACAGAATACAACCAGACTCGGGCTTCGGACTAGTGGTTTAAGTCACAGACTGAAATTTAACATCTTTACCTAGACAAGTTCAGGTTTCCAGACATTGAATGATAAAACAAAACATATATTGAGATATGTGACCTTGAACTTTATGACCCAGAAAACGAATTATGCAGTTCTCTCAAAAAGAAAGTAATAACTATCAACCACTATCATGCTGTTTGGCTATGCAAGACTGTTTCCTGCTTAATTTATTTTTCCATTTCTCAAGTTGAGTCATACCCGGCTCAGCTTGTCGGTCAAACATTCCTGTAAAGTGGAGCTTATTGTGCTATGTTTATCTGTGGTAAATAAGTCGGCTTTATCAGTGGCTGCTGCAGTCCTGTGTTTTGGCCTGCTATTTGTAACATGTCTGTTGTGTCTCACAGAGGATCTTCCTGGTGCTACACCAGCTTGACTGGGCACTGTGACCTGTCATCTATCTTTCTCACACAGGATAACTGCTTCAAACACTAATCAAAAAGGGCGAGTTTTCATCTTGGGCTTTGGCTATGGAGATAAAAACCTTAAAATATGAATAGCTTGCTCCGTTGCAAAATAATTGTGGGAAAAAGTATTTTTAAAATACAAGTATCCGTGGAATATGATAGATTCCCTCCTACAATACATTTCAATAAATCAAACAATAGATGGGTGATTACAACTGTTGCATCTGCAACATCAAATTTACTCTACCATAGAAATAATTCTGAAACAAAGCATAAACCAAGCAAGCAATAGGTGACAGTTACTTGACTTTTGTGTTTATCATGTTTATGACTAAAACCAGGAAGCATGTGCTGCAGTCTAATTAGTTCAGAAAAAAACTTGTTCTTCTTGAATTGTTTTCTTTCTCAAAGACAAATTTGAACACAATCAGCTGGGCCTAACGTATACTACATTAATCATATATCATACTTGATCTAGTAGATAACAACTACTTTCATAATGATGTTTTCCTCCACATTCTGCCTACCAGTACATGACTGTAAAATGTATACCGTATGTAGATATTATGCATGCATGGTGTCAGCAAAGGTAAATTACGTGTTTAAAAGTTTTGAGATTGTCCCTATCACGAGTGATGCCATCTTATCTGATAACCCTTAGTGGAGGTGGTTGTGTTTAATCCTTTGTTGATGTCCCTATTTAGTGTATAACAACACAGCAGAGTGTTGGCATTCACATCTGGTTAACAAATGTAACCATTCCCCATTGTCATTGCCGGTGATGCCAAGTGCCTCACGAGAAGTGAGTGAGGAGTGAGTGAGGAGTGAGTGAGTGAGTGAGAGGTTTTCCACAACATCAATATTCCAGCAATATCACGGCTGTGGGCACTAAAAATGGGCCTCACACATTTTACCCATGTGGAGAATCGAAACAACTCTTTAACATGATGAGCAAACGCACTAACCACTTGAGAACCACATGAAAAGCAGAATTCGTAGGTACATCGTCCATAGAAGCCCAGGGCAGACTGTAATATTGCTCTCAGGGGAATACTAACCTGGAAGTGTGGGCTGGACACACACTTGGATATCTGTCTGAACATGGCCTCCATCACCTTTTGGAACTGAGCAGGTTCTATCACGTCTAGGATCTCCTCGATCTCCCCGAGGAACATCACCTGTAATAATGGCAAACACATTTTCAGAATGGGACACTGGGTAATATGTTTTCTCGGTTGCTGTGAAGTGTCACCTCTAATTGCGTATGCCTGGAACATGACATCCTTCTCAATGAGAAATCACTAACAAGTGCTGCAACATATATCCATATCAGAAAAAGAAACAGTTTGAGACAAGTTTCTATTTGAATCTCTCATCCTTGTGATACAAACAGTTAATTTCCATCAGAATCTTCCCTGTAGTATACACATACATAGTGAGTTGTCCAGTGTTACTTTGTACATTATACATAATGACTGGGAATTGAGTGAAAGTCAAACTTGTTGAGAGAAAAAAAAAAAAAAAAAATCCCAAACTCAATAAATAGTAAAAGGCACCAGTTAACAACCTGATGAGAGTGTGTATAAAGTTTCATGAAACATCACCTATTCGTTTCAGATATATGGTCTGGACAAACACACTACTGTGAAAAGAGTTAAAAAGTCAAACTTGCAAAAAATAATAAAAATTTGAAAAAACTCCCTAAATAGTGAAAGGCACCAATTGACCAACTGGTCTTTGTGTGTGTACGGTTTCATGAAAGAATACCTATTACCTTTAGAGCTGTGGCCTGGACAAAAAACAATTATGGAAGGATGGACAGACAAGCTGATTACTATTGGGGGGATAATACTGATGGAAATGACTTGAGGCAATGGTCTCCAGCCAAACTGCCCAGACAAATTGGGTTCACCACGAACTGAGCCCTAATCCACAAAGACATCTCAATGTCATGACTACTGGAAATGTAAGATACAAGGACAGCAGCAGACAAAACATCACTCTGGAAGATTGAGTCTTGAGTGCCATTTCTTTCACACTGAGGACATAGGTTTCGGATGTCAAATATTTCCGTAGATGCTACATCCACTTGCCTACAGCCTGACTCAGTTTTGTCGAACTGGTTAATTAGATAGTGACTACAGGTGATTTTATCCATCTAATTGGATCCCCAGGCTCTGCTATGAGATTTCCCAACAGATGTATACTACATGCCATGTCACAGCATGGTATAGGTTGTTTGCTGTAATCTCATCTAATAACTATAAGTTGATAATAACATACTGGAGATATACATCTGACAAATGGATTCTTTATATCAACAAGCGAGTACAAAGACTAAATTGTAGTTCTCTCAACCACTAGAAAACAACTGAAATAGAAATGTAGGTGTAGACTTCTTCTTAACATTAATATATCAAACCATAAAAATATCAAGAAAAAAACTCCATGATATGTTAAACTAATAGACATAAGCATATGATGTTGAGACCTGAAATGACATTTTGATAGCAAATTTACCAAGAATTGATTTCAACGTTGATGAACACAAATTGGTCTGCTTGATGTATGTAATTTTATAATCATGTTACAAAAACAGAGAATTGATTTCGGTCGCTGCATTCCTCTTGTGACCTTGTTTTGACTGAGCTGTGGACAATCCAAAATTGCTGACTATACATCAAACTGCAGACATACAATCTTAATGTCGTGGTTACTTTCAGATATTAGTTTTCATGTTCATCACAAGACATACAGGTGTATTCAGACATACCTCCTTCTGACTACAGGTCTTTGGCCAGAACTTAAGTAAACCTTTGATAACCTGAAAGAAAGAAGAAGATAAAAATATAATTATTGGTTCCTTCAAACCCTTTTTTATTAAAACTTTTTTTGGGTAAAAATGAACACAAAGATATGTCAAACATAGAATCAGACAGAAATGCATCCTAGCTTTTTATCCTTGTGATAAACTATGAGCAAAAGACCATAACCTCTAAAGCAGCTGTGCTGGAAAATTAACTGATCAATATTAAATCAGCAACTCTCTTTTCTGTTTCTCAACTCCAGCTTGTCATCCTTCTGGCATGTGTAGGGTTAAACATGCTTTTCTACTTCATAGTCACGTTTCATGGGTGAGCAAAGCAAAGGAATGAATGTTTTATGCCACTCCATTCACCAACAATCCAACAATTTCACAGTGGCTTTCAAATAATCAAGTCTCCACAGACCAGTAGTGGAATGAGCAACTATGGAGACTCTTCAGGAAGAAAGACAGAAGCAGCCAGGTCATATTAAACACCCCCCATCCTTATCTAGTAATCTCTTTGAAATGTCGTTAACTACTATTATGGGCATATTCTGAACAAGACTCCACCTTTCAAATCAGAGAATAAAAATGCTCATTGTGATTTCATAAGATCTGCAGGAACATTGTCTGTCAACTTTGTTTTACTTATTTTAATACTCTAGCAACAAGAGAAGGGATACAATACATGTACTTCACATGTTATACATGAGTACAAGTTGGGAATACACTGACTGACTGAGTTTAGTTTTACGCCGCTTTTAGCAATATTCCAGCAATATCACGGCGGGGACACCAGAAATGGGCTTCACTCATTGTACCCATGTGGGGATTCGAACCTGGGTCTTCGGCGTGACGAGCCAACGCTTTAACCACTAGACTACCCCACCGCCCCAGTTGGGAATACAACTTAGGTCATCAGAGTGCTGGAACCACAAGGCTACTGCAGCAACCCTTACGGACAGTGTAGATGTCCTCATGAATCAATTCAGACACTGGCATAATCTCTATCTACTTATACAAGCCTAACCATATTCCAAGTTCCCAATTTCATCTAAAATACACCAGGAGACGATGAAATACCAATACTCACATCCTCAGTGAGAGCAGCATCCTTCTCCAAGAACTGCACGACACAGTAGGCCAGCTAAAACAGAACAGAGTTAAGTAAATTCAATAAATATGCATGGAACCTTCTTGCAATTTTACAAATCACTGCACACACAAATAATAGAAGTTCATGATCATAATTTAAGCTTCAGACTTATGCCCTACCAATCTAGGCTGAATTATATTTCTCTCCCCTCACCTAAAAATTTGTTGACGTATAATCAGAGTTTCGGATCAGTTCTTTATTCTAGGGCACTGACTGATTGTTATTTACAATTTCCTACACCGGCTGAAGTTTTGAATACACAATGCTAAGTTTATCAAATTTTCATAATGGTAAAATTGATTGGTTGGTTGTTTGAACACTGCACTCAGAAATATTCCAGCTATATGGTGGCGGTGTGTAAACAATCAAGTCTGGACCAGACAATCCAGTGATCAACAGCATGTGCATTGATGTATCTACCAGTACTTGGGATACGATGACCTGTGTCAATCAAGTCATTGAGCCTGACCACCTGATCTGTTAGTTGCTTCTTATGACAAGCATGTGTTAGCAGTTACGGAAGGTACATTAATACAGCCCGGACCTTCACGGGTGGGTAAATAGTTTGGAATTGTAATTGTATTCCATGGGAGTGTTGTTTCTAGCAGGAGTGAGTGAGTGAGTTTAGTTTTACACCGCACTCAGCAATATTCCAGTATATGACGGTGGTCTGTAAAATATCAAGTCAGGACCAGACAATCCAGTGATCAACATCATGAGCATCGACGTACGCAATTGGGATACGATGACATGTGTCAATCAAGTCATTGAGTCTGACCACCCGATCCGTTAGTCGCCTCTTACGACAAACATGTGTTACTGAAGACCAATTCTAACCCGGATCTTCACTGGTGATAATGGTAAAGAAAAATCTCTAACATTTGCTACATGAACATGTTGAAAATCACTCACACACACATATTGTTAAACATTACAAATACCCACAAGTTCAAAGGATGCCTTCCAATATTTTGGGCACATAATTTCATTGGAGGAGTTCTAATTTAATTCCTCTACACAAATAAAACCTTGTCAATCCTGAATCATCCAAGACATGCCAGAATTGATGTATTTCAGGATTAATGAATCACAATCATGCTTTTGCAAAAATATCATCTGAGCAGTTAAGCTTAATCAAGCACAACATAGATAAATACAAAATAGAATTTGTACTTCTGACAATGAATGACATTTGCAAGGTAAGTTATTGTTACTTTATAAAAGCGTGCTATCGAAAGGGCAACCTATTTGTATTTCATAAAAGTGTTTTACCAAAAAGGAGAAATTGAATATATTTTAGTAAAAAGTCACAAATAAAATACCTTGTCATATTTTTACTTAAGCAGCAGGACAAAGAAACAAGTTTTCCAAATTATAAACAACCCCCCACAAAAAACAACTTAACACTTTAAAAATATAGCTTTGTCATTTTCATATGGCTCTAAATTTCAAGTCAGCAGAATTATTTTAAGTGGTAATATAGTTAGTAGAAAATGGTGAAATTTTCATAAGATGCCTTTTAAAATGTTATGATGGTCATACCAAATGCACTTTGAACCAGGCAATTGAAAGCATAATGTTTTATCATTTGCATAAGTAGGGCAAATACACAAAGATAGGATGCCTGGATTCAGCACTATGGCAAGGAAGTGAGTCAACACATTGAAAGTACAAAATCTCATCTGGAAAAACATGGTTTGGACGTCATAGGTCAACAAATTCAAGAAAACAAGGAAATAGTAACATACTGAATAATATGTATATTCTATAAACAAACTATTTTACAAAAAGAAGTTAGTTGGCATGGGATTACAGGCATAATCCTGTTGCCAAAGGAACTTGGTACAATGCTATGGTAAAGGTCAGACACCTGAGATCAATTGCCTAGACAGGGTCCTACTAGTGGTATAACTGACAAGCGTGGAATCATCCTACTACCATAGAGCACAAATCTGTCTGAACAGTATGTCTGATGGCAATATCTTCGACCAATCAAATGTTCGTGTTTTCAGCACCTGTTTCTCTTGCACAGCATTGAACAAAATCTGATTTTGGAAACTGGAAATTTGTAGGTGCAGGATGAATTTCAATGTATTTCGAGCCATTTGTATTAAATAAGTAACAAAACATCGACTGACTGAGGAAATGACACACCACTGAGAAAAGAACTAAGCAAAATGAAGATGATACACCGACAATGACATTTGTCATGCCCAAGCTTGACATACAATGGCAGCAAGATGGGTACAATTTCCCTGCTGGAATCTTGTCCTGCAGCCTTTGGCTACATCAAGTGTTGTGTAACACTGTGTTTGTGTGGGTGTATGATGTAGAAGGCCTGTCTTGGGGGATTGTCACTGACCTCTGCCATTTCAAATATCCAGTACATCATCCAAGAAATGGCAAATTCATTTAAGGAAAACAAAAAATCTGTCAAATGCATTAAGTTAAATGCAGGAATTCAGATTGCTAAAGGTGAACCATTTTGGAAAGCTTGATCTTTAAAACATAGTTCACTCCTATTATCAGTCAGGTCCTAGAAACAAAAATACCAAATCTTGTACCAAAAAATTCATTTGAAGCCTGAAATAACACCTTTGGGACTAATCCTTTATCATGGAGTGAAATACCATTGTTTAAAAATGTAACATATCAAACATGAACATCTTATGACTGAAGATGTCCTTGGGAATAGCAGCAATCTGGGATTAAGAGGGATCATGTTTTCTTTCAAGACAGAGTCATATAAAAGTTACTCACTACCAGAACAGTTTCAGTTTCAGATGAACCATCAAACTGCCATTCTGAGAAAAGGTCATAAGTGACAATGGATGTTTTATACTATTTTCCAAACGGCAACATGATGGCCATTTATGGCAAGAGAGGGCAAAAATATCACAGTGATAAACATTTTAGATGGAAATTAATCTATCTAGAACAGACTACACAATATATCCTGTGATTTGCTAAAGATTTCAATCACTGTTAATTTTGCAAGTTTCCTCATCCTGTTTTTATCGATATCAATCAACAGTATAAATACAATGAAAACACAATTAACACCTGGCTAGTCTAGAAACCCTGTGTCAACAGTTAACTCTTCTAGTTTTATTAGTCAAAAACGGTAATGTGTCTTCTGTAGTGTCTTTCTATTGGACAAATAGTATCTGCTCACACAACTCTCCTCGAAAGTGTTCGCTATTCCCGAGAAAATACATTTTTTTTATGATTCATTCTTCCCTCTATCTCAGTTTGTAAACAGAAATAATCAGAGTGCAAACAGTTTCAGAGGCAAAGAGACTAGTGATGTCATTTCATTTGTGATGCAAATTCTCCTAGGAAATTTTTTTGATCTCAATACCTCCCGCAGAAGAAAGTTTGGGATGGTGAAATGGAATGGCTCAATGTAACAAAACACAACTTGCTTTCACAACAAAGATGTTCAAATGGCTTAATGCACACTCAGCATTTTATTTTTCACACTACTCCGCATACCACTCATTTATTCAAAATGTGGACCAGGGCCTTGAACATGTACTAGTTGCGTGGACATGTGCACTATATAAATATCCTATAACAATAATCAGGTGAATATTACTGGGAACCATACCATCAAGATTAAAAGGGTATCTCTGTATTTTTCTTGAAATATTATTTGGAGATTATCATCATATTTTCATTGAAGTAGTATTGGTTCAGAAATTTGATCATATTACCATTTTGAAGTACATAAGGACATCACAATAATCTGATGATTGCATGACAGCAAATATGGTTTCTAATTTATTTGAATAAGAACTGCCAAGGCATCACAACATGCTCTCATTGTCGTCATTACATTGGCGACAGACCCACACATATTTGCCTGAATTGCTATCTGTCAGAACTTATTAAAGGAGCTTCATCAACAGAGTTAGCTTACCTGTGCATGGTAGAGACTTAGACTGCGAGCTTTGTGTAGGGGGATCAAAACCTTGATTAAGAACTGCTTGTGCTCTGCCTTCAGCGGTAAAGCAAAACCATTGATAATGCTGTAAATAAAAAAAAGACACGTCAATCTCCCACTGCTGGAAAACTCTAGCTTAAAATAAATGCATAGTTATATTCCATGCAATGTTCATTACATTTACTTCTAAAAGGGAAAACATTGTAACTAACCTTTACATCCCCCTACCCCTACCCAAAATCCCAAGTAAACAGAGACAATCGTTTTCTTCATTTAATAATTGAAAATTAGTTTTTCATGACATAACAAATGACCCTCAGAGTGTCCAAACACTGCAAAAGATGAAATGCAAAACAAAATAAAAGATAATATGTAAAACACAGTAACAGATGATATCTACATTTTACATCACATTATATACATCTGGAATGCTTCGTAAAAAAGGAATTTGTTTGACACTCACCTGCCTAAAATCTCTAATAGTTCTCCAACTCCATTGAACTGCTCTGTTTCATAAATAAACCTGAAAGCAGCAATAGTATCTTAAGGTGTGGCCTTGCACAAGACAGTGAGAGGTTTCACCCAGATGAACTAACCCACACAATATTTTCTTTGTCAGGCTTGGTTACCTACTCAGTGGGAAGAAACAGGGTATTCAGATAAAATGTCAGTATTTTTCACAGGAATGCAAGGTCTTGAAAATTAACAAAGAATGAATACATAAAGTTTCATAATGCAACAGCTGGCCCTTTGAATACAGTGGAACATGAATAATTCAGGAGGTGTCTGGGGAAATCTTTTTAGGTGTTTATTCTGTTAAAAAATGTTTGTTTTGGAAATAACTTCCTGAAACACTAATTCGAAAAAAACAGCAACATCTGATCTTTATATTATATACAAAAATATTGTCTTGAGAGGTCCAATCTTACCTGAGGAAAAAATTATTTATTTGTTTCCTAATGAAAGCTCTAAGTCCAAGAAACTTTCCATAGATCCGGTGAAGGACAGTTTTCAAAAAGTCTCGTTCCCGTGGATCTTCACTGTCAAAGAGTTCCAATAACTGAAGCAGAAAAAATAAGTTCACTTTACTAGATTGAGACAAATTTGACAAAGAAACATTTTGGTCATTATTACTCTAAGGAAGAGTGGTTGATTGCATGAGCTATGATCTATGTCACCATGGTACACTGACACAGGATGTATTTGGTCACACAATCCAACCACCAGCTATCAACACTAGACACTAGCGCATGGAACAGAGTAACAATATCTCAGCACAAAGAATGTTGGTGCAAGTCGGCCCTGATCGTCATTAGTCAGCTGTTTCAACAGGCTGCGGATACTTAAACCTATTGATTCCTACATAGTATGCTGATGAGAATTTTAAAAATGTCTTTCTCTAATCACTGGAGAATGAACTGTCATGCAGTGAGGGCCAAATTGTAAGACTGATTGAGCTTGTAATGATGTTCATACTGCAGTGAATTCACATAAAGCGAATATCAATTTTCCTAATTTGTTAAAACACCATTTCAAACCTCTAAGGTTGTATACACAATTTTGTTTAGTATGTGTGTCTTCATGTTTATACTCTGACAGCAAAACAAGTATCATGAAAAAAACCCAAAGTTCTTCAAATTAAGAGCTGACATGATCAAGAATGTGCTCAAACTGCCATACAGTAAATGTTTTTGTAGTTTGGTGACAACAAACAGCTTTACTGTGTCACATATAATGTTCATCTGATGAGAAAGGTGTGTTAAGAATGATCGCAGAATGTCAGTCTCAGTGAAAGTACGTCGTAATACAATTACATCCAACATGGGGTGTCAAAATGGAATGAGTGATTGAGTTTAGTTTTGCACCACCCTCAGCAATATTCCAGCTATATGGCGGCGGTCTGTAAATAGTCGAGTCTGGACCAGACAATCCAGTGATTAACAGCATGAACATCATCTACACAATGGAGAACGAATGACGTGTCAACCAAGTCAGCAAGCCTGACCACCCCGATCCCGTTAATCACCTCTTACGACAAGCATGGGTTACTGAAGATCAATATTCTAACCCGGATCTTCATGGGTCTGATCGGAGAGATTTCCAAAGCTGTTAATGAACCTGTGGTATTCAGCATGTGCTATTCATCATTGATCAATTGGCTAATCACTGAAATGTGATTATGAACATTTGTTAAATAGATATTGAGTCAATTCATACATTGCTGTAGTCTGTCACTGTCAGTCTAGGCATGGATTAAATTGATAGTCAGAATATGTATTTCTTCGTTTAGTTCTCTAGGATGTGTCATAGAGAGGATATTAATGAACTCACTTCCAAAAGTATGCTAAGAGGTAAAGATTAATGGGTCAAAATAATCAGAAACAATGCCTTTGTATTTTTTTGTGCTAGGAGTTTCCCCACTTGAATCCCCAGGAATTTGGAATGAGTCAGTCAGTGTTTACCATATATCAAACATAGTCTCCTGTCAAATTTGTTCATGTGAAGGGCCACTTATCTAATATAAAAACTCTATGTCCCGAAAATTTCACATTAAAAAGTTTTACATGCCAAATCAATCCAAACAGGAAATATTTAAACTGAAATAGAAGATACTTATTTCAATCTCAATTGTCTTAAGTTAAACATTACAAAACCATAATTTAGTACTGTCATTCTCAACCTAGATAATAATTTCACTACTACTTTCTTATAGCATTCAGCAGTTCCCAGTCTATTATCTGTATAACCTATATAGCAACCACATGCAGTGGGTGACATTAACGGCAGACTGAAAAAACACAATGTAAAATGTGCCAGTCCAATTGCTTTTTCAAAATTTAATTTCACTAGAATGTTTAGAAAAGGTCACCAAAAATAAGATCACCTTTGACTTACAATAGGGAGTGAGTGAGTGAGTGTGTTAGGATTTATGCCTCTTTTACACACCACAATACCCATGTTTGTAATCTAAGATCTTTGACATGAACCACTGTAGCCAAAATACAGTCATGATGTAGACAGTATGTTAATCTGGGTTTATCATCAGGTGAGTCCATCATGACTTTAACTACTATAACATTACAGATCCTAACTTTTAAGTATAAAAGCACAATATAACTTTAAAAAAGCCATCTTGTTTCATGCATAGCTTACATACCTGAAGAACAAACTTTTGGTCTATATATTTCTTGGCCAAACTTGGCTGGAAGTCTGGAGATTCAAGAAAGCGGAGAAAAAATTCATAAACAATCTGAAAAAGAAAAGAAAGCATGTTGAAATAGAGCAGACATGATGTTTTCCCTCACATCCCCATTATGCATTGACTAACATTCCTGCCAATCTGCACAACCCAGCTTTCAGTATTGGTGATAACAAACCCAGGTATAGATAAAGATACCATTTCATGTATAAGCCAAAATGGAAAATCCAGCCTTACAGATGCATATTGCAACTCAGTGCTAGGTACATATTTCATGATGTAACAACAACTGTACATGCAGTTGAAGGCTTTACCTGATTAACAACATTAACATGCACTGTGTTTTACGCTGTATAGAAAACCTTATCTTATGAAAGAGTTGCTGTATACCTGGCTCAATCTCAACATTGAAAAGAAATATTCATCTGTTGTCAAGTAAAATGAAATTCAGCATGAAAGTTTAAATATCCTCAAATGACACAGATTGTGGATACTCGTGGAAAATGAACTGTTAAATAAGGGGGTGGACTGATATGCCAGGGTGGGGCAGCATGTGAGGTGATGGGTGTGGCAGAGTGGCAAGGTGACTTGGTGGGACAGTGTGTGAGGTAGGATGGCAAGGTGACTTGGCAAGGTGATGGCAGCTGTGTGAGAGTTGGTGATCAGGTGGGATAGTGTGAATAGTGATGGGTGTGGCAGATGGTGGTTGTGTGAGTTGGTGACAAGGTGGGACAGTGTATGAGGAGATGGGTGTGGAAGATGGTGGCCTGGTGACCAGGTGGGACAGTGTGTGAGGTGATGGGTGTGGCAGATGGTGGTTGTGTGAGTTGGTGACAAGGTGGGACAGTGTGTGAGGTGATGGGTGTGGCAGATGGTGGCCTGGTGACCAGGTGGGACAGTGTGTGAGGTGATGGGTGTGGAAGATGGTGGCCTGGTGACCAGGTGGGACAGTGTATGAGGAGATGGGTGTGGAAGATGGTGGCCTGGTGACCAGGTGGGACAGTGTGTGAGGTGATGGGTGTGGCAGATGGTGGTTGTGTGAGTTGGTGACAAGGTGGGACAGTGTGTGAGGTGATGGGTGTGGAAGATGGTGGCCTGGTGACCAGGTGGGACAGTGTGTGAGGTGATGGGTGTGGCAGATGGTGGTTGTGTGAGTTGGTGACAAGGTGGGACAGTGTGTGAGGTGATGGGTGTGGCAGATGGTGGCCTGGTGACCAGGTGGGACAGTGTGTGAGGTGATGGGTGTGGCAGATGGTGGCCTGGTGACCAGGTGGGACAGTGTGTGAGGTGATGGGTGTGGAAGATGGTGGCTGTGTGAGTTGGTGATCAGGTGGGACAGTGTGTGAGATGATGGGTGTGGCAGATGGTGGCCTGGTGATCAGGTGGGACAGTGTGTGGGGTGATGGGTGTGGCAGATGGTGGCTGTGTGAGTTGGTGACCAGGTGGGACAGTGTGTGGGGTGATGGGTGTGGCAGATGGTGGCTGTACGAGTTGGCGACCAGGTGGGACAGTGTGTTAGGTGATGCGTGTGGCAGATGGTGGCTGTGTGAGTTGGTGACCAGGTGGGACAGTGTGAAAGGTGATTTGTGTGTGGGAGATGGTGACAGGGTGGGACAGTGCATGAGGTGATGGGTGTGGCAGATGGTGGCTGTGTGAGTGAGTGAATGAGTGAGTATGGTTTTTTCGCCACTTTTAGCAATATTCCAGCAATATCACAGCAGGGTACACCAGAAATGGGTGGCTGTGTGAGTTGGTGACCGGGTGGGACAGTGTGTGAGGTGATGTGGCTTAGCGAGAGTGGATGGATGTTTCTTGCCTGTAAATGAGGCCATGATGCCTCCAGTGTTGGGTCGTCTTCTTCCGGGTCAAAGTCAGGATTGTCATTAGGTGGAAGAGTGCGAAAAATATTACATGCAATCTGCAAAGAAACAAAATCATATATAAAAGATGAATTGAAAAATGAAACATGTCAGAACATAAATATTTCATGACTGGAGCATGCACACTTCTTCTTGGTCAATAAGAGGGAATCAAACTTGCATCATATACCTTAAGGGCTACATGCCCATGAAGAAAATCATATTCATGAAAGCATCGTGCATAATCCCAAACAGTTGACAGTCTCAATACAGATATGCCATGTTAAAGACCTTGGTTGCAATGACAGAAAATCAACATCATTCAGACATCCCTTTTCAGCATAAAGCTGATACAAAATGAGTGAGTGAGTGAGTTTAGTTTTACGCGGCACTCAGCAATATTTCAGCTATATGGTGGCGGTCTGGAAATAGTCAAGTCTGGACCAGACAATCCAGTGATCAACAGCATGAACATCGATTGCGCAACTGGGAACCAATGACATGTGTCAACCAAGTCAGCGAGCCTGACCACCCGATCCTGTTAGTCGCCGCTTACGATAAGCATAGGAGCCTTTTGTGGCAAGCATGTGTTGCTGGAGACCTATTCTACCCCGGATCTTCACGGGTCTGATACAAAATGATGAAAAGGGGTATAAGATCCCACATTGAGACATGGAAATACATTTCTTAAAACAACTGTCGAAAGATGAAGGTTAAAATTTTATACTGTTGTGGTTCCATAATAACCATGAAAAAGGGGACCTTTATTTAAATATGAATACAAAAGCCTTGATTTAAACTTAAAGCATGACGCCTCATTTATGGCTTTTCTTATTCCTAGTACCAAAATAATGAAATACTTGGTACAGATAAAAAGCCATGACATAAACACATCTAGATAGTGTGTTACTGCAAGTTAAATTGACCTGTACATAAAATGAGCACTGGAGTAATACAAACTGAATCAATACGACTAAACATCCTGTAAAAACTGCATTTCCTTCCCTGGTGCAGCTATTTGAAATATATTTTTACACACTTGTCAAGTATATTTGAGTCCATTTTATTATTACTACATTCACATTCATTTCTAAGAGAGTGAGCGAGTTTAGTCTTACGCTGCTTTTAGCAATATTCCAGCAACATCAAGACGGGGGACACCAGAAATGGGCCTCACGCATTGTCCCCGTGTGGGGAATCGAACCCAGGTCTTCGATGAGACGAGCGAACGCTTTAACCACAAGGCTACCCCAACGCCCCCATTCATTTGCTAAGCCCATAAATAATCAATGATATCCTCCCCTACAAAACTCTGAACGAAAAAGATTAATTTCCTTCTTATGTGAAACCATATTCCTATAATCAATAGGTTTGTGCGGCTAAGCTAAGAACAAGGACAAAAAATTTGTACATACATATCCAGTTATTTTAAAATGTTTTTACAGCTTTTCTCATTTGTTGAATACATCCATTTTCCTGAAAAGTATTGACAATTGGAAGCATTGGATTCATCTATAATTACCATATTCCAAATTGAATTGATCCAGGGTTTCATATTGTCATCGGCCTTCGGTCGTAGTCCAATAACATTTTTAAAAAAACGACTACTTTCTTATTAATTAGGACACTCGGGCCGATCAATAATTACGATGTTATTTTCACATACTGGACCTAATAAATTATGAACATTATCATTTACAAATTCATCAAAAACTAACCACAAAATCTTGATCATGTTTCCGCGGCGTGTATCACGATGTAAGGGGTTTTCAACGATGTAAGACAAAAACGTATTTTTTATCTGTAATATCATTTAAAGTTTATATTTTACTAACCTCGAGTGATAAACGATATATTCATCTATTTCACACAAAAATATCAAGTGTTCCCTACAAAAATAGCGTTGATGAAATCGTATCTGCGAAACTGTGCCGCTCGTAACATCCGGGTATTTTGTATGGGTTTTCAACAATGAGCAATACTCTTTGCTTCGCACTGCGAGGGAGTGTTGTGATCACGAGGCTTCCTATTTATATACTGCCTGTCACCAGCAGACGACTGTTCTAACTTAATTTTCGCTTGCTATTTTTTGTTATAAAGGGAACTGATTTTGTATCGTAAGTGGTATTAACGATCTCGGGTAAATAATATTGATGTTTGTTTGCTTTTTATATAATTTTATTTCCCGATTTCCATTGTCAATAAAACTTCTCATGACAGCGACTTGGCACCCGCCCTAACGTACTCCCCTGATATAGCGCGTGCAATGCAATCGTCGAAATCACCAGAACGTCGAATTCAGCTCGTGTTGGGATATGTATTTACGCATCCATTTTTATCACAATAAGCTGCCAAATGTACATGCATTGGATTGCGCGATTGGCTGCTGTTTTAAGCATTGGGCAATCAGAAACGGGGTTTCCCGACCCCACCCGCATGTAACGATGTTTCGAGGAAATCATTAAATAAATTGAATAAACTAATGAATAAAATCAACAATAGCATTCATAAAAGTTGTCAAACTTACATATAAAATTACTATATCCATCTTTTTGTACGATCATGTAATGTTTGTCAAGTCACTTGTCCGTGACAAGTGACATCTCGGCTTTCCCCGCCTCAATCTTCACGCTTGGACACGATGTTTAATGCGAAAATAAATGCATGAAGCATATTTGTCACAGGTCATAACCTAGAACGATACGTCCAATAAGTTCCATAATTTACGTATAGGTAGCGATTTCTAGCTTAATATGTTCAGAATAGCATTAGTTTACCCAAAACTTTCGTCTAAATCTAAAAGTTTTCGTTTACGAGGACGGTATCTATTGTCGTAATATGATCGGCTGCCTTATGTCACGTGTCTGATTTTGACAAATCACGACCCTTATAGCAGACTGTGGCGAAAAAAAGTGTCATTAGAAACCAATCTTTATCTAATAACATCGCTTCTTACAACTGTGAAACTACTCTCGGCAAGGGTATAGTGATATTGTTGATGTTCAGAGCTTTCGAACGATACCCGCCATCAAACGATTCGCCTCTCATGTTATTCATACAAAGCTTCGAAAACCGAGGAATTTTCCGTTGTTGTGTCATCATTGGCGGATCCAGAGGGGGGGTCAGGGGGTTTGACCCCCCTTTTGAAAATGACTTAAGACCACATTGAAGATTTTTTTTGCGTAAGTGGAGCCACACACACACACACGCACACACACACACACACACACAATTCCTGGATCCGCCCATGGTCATGTTAACGAACGGAGAGCCACTGATATCGGGTAATAGGCGACCATACATATTATTTAGGAACTTTTTTTATAATAATTTTCTGATTACGTAAAAATGAAAATATAAAAGAAAAAGGCACAGGGATGTTATGACATGTCACAAATGAAAAAAAAATCGCCATAGTTTTTGCTTCTTTCGTGATTTATCTGGACATTATAAATACTTGCATTTTCATTAAAAAATCAATTTATTTAAGTTGTATCTAGCTGTATTATTTGAATAATATTAGAAAAATAAATTTCATATTTATCAACAGTGGGATTAGAATTTTTAATTGGTGTATGAGAGGTAGTAGCAATAACGTTTTACAAGCTTATAATTTCCTTCATAAACATTGGCTTCAACAATGACCTTAGAGTCTCTGGGAACTCGGTGTCATGGCAGTAAATCACTAAATGCCTCTGGTTGACTGGTGTTGAAAGAGTTAACTGCTCTTCACGATGCAGAAATGACTACACACCAATTTTGTCTTCTGGAACCAGGAAGTTTTGAAAGTTTGAAGTTTAAAGTTTGCAAGTCTGAGATTGACAAAAGAAAATCAGTGTTAATTATTGTATTTCCGTAGCTATGACATGTTAGCTGAATCAAACAGTTGGATGAAAAGAAGCAAGCTATGACATCATGTTCACTTTTAAGGGTCTGTTTGAAACAACTGAATATTAAAATATTACAACACTGCTGTTTTGTTCAGTCTCTTTATTCACAGAGGAGTGATTGATGTTCATTAATCTGCTTATAAGTCATAAATCTTTGAAAAAAGCTTAAATTTTGCTGTATATCTAGAATCCAAGTTGCAACATTAAATGTCATTAACAATTTAGTTATATGATGGCATTGGGATTAAAAACATGTCAAAAAGAGCTTTAGGTCAATGGCCTATAGCCAGACACCCATTCAGGACATTTGTCCTGATTTTTATAGGCTCCAAAATCACTGTGATCCTTTTATTATTTTGAAGAACGGTTCTATTCCATTACATAATTAACAAGTAACTGTTTAATCAGGTGTTCTATTGGGAAAACTGCTGTACACTATTCTACATAGACTCATGTTCTCAGCATTTTCTGAACTAATGATAACAGTAAGAAAGTTCTTGAGCAAGCTCATGTGATCTCTCCTACTGAATATCACACACAGTCATTGTATTCTGTCACTAGCCATGTGATGACATGGGCAATGGCCCTGATACATATTATCAATAGTCTATGTTCTGAGATGGGTCAGCTCCTCATCTTAGGCCTGCATTAAAGCCAGCAATTTCTTGTCTGTTCACGAGTGCAAGGACTGGGAGAAAATCAATGTCTTGTGGCAGACTGAAAGCTAGCATGCTACCTGGACTGACGCCAATATGTCGACCATGGTGTAAGTAATCGTTGGTCCTAATTCCCCTTTCCCCACCTGTCCATCCTCTCCCCCTCTGTCACCATTTTCCTACCCTGAGGAAGGAAACCAACTGGGTAGTGTTGTCAACCTCTGTAAGTCTGGAAAGGCCTCCTGTCGGGAGTCAACTCCACTCCACTACATTAAGGGTTGTTAACATGGCAATTACCAAAAACAATTAGTATGCCATTACTGCCTAGTCAATTACTAATCATCTGGGTTAGACTGTTGGACAAACTGCTCTGTAATAATGTTGGAAAAGGAAACATTTATTAGTGTTCCAACCACCTTGCAAATTCCTAGCAGAGTGTATATTAAAGGAGAACTAAGAATTTGTCAAGTGTGTAATTTATATGCAGTGGAAGATAAGTACCACTTCCTCCTT